ACATAGATAGGCTAACTTGATTCCGAGTTTGTTTAAATTTTACAACAATGTGTTAGACATTTGAGCTTTTTTTTAGTTTCCCTACAAGCCACTACAATACTAATGCTTTAACAAAGTAAACTCTGACACTATATTTGCTAGCTGTCTCGAATTTAAGCCAGATTATTACAGCGTGCCTGGGTGTTGATGACATCACGCGCAGATAATGGCGGGTTTTGGCGGGAACGAGTGACAGGTCGCGGTTGATCGTAGAACGAGGAACTGCTAGTGACAGTTGACGATTGTCCGTTTACATTGTTTCCACTGATGTTGTGATATTGAACATGAAACACCAACAAGAGGCGACACGTGTAAACAGCGCCACTGTACACGGAATGATGTGATTAATCAGTTCTACCAACGGGTTTAATTTGCATGCTTTGAAAGAAATAACTAGTTATTGTACGACAAAAACGAATTTCTCTAGATTGAATGAAATAGACTACATCAACAAAAATAATATTAACTATTTAAGTTCAGAAGAATCTCCAAACACGTGTAAAACATGCGTAGCTGGGTAATATGCAACTAAATCAATTTTTTGTTCTTTTTGAAATATTAAAATCAAAGCAACTTTTGATAAAATACTATAGCTGTGAGCCCGTTGTACGCACGGGAATTAAGTATTCGGTTCAGATTTTGTTGTCTATTCATTGCAATTTCTTTACGATTTTTGTAGAGGAACGGTCCAAACCCTGGTCTTGATACCATCAAATGTCGACCTTTTGTTTCAATACGATACGGATGTCAATGTATCAATAGTCAAAGATTGTTTGCCTATTGTGACAAATGACATCTGGGAATGGCAACGACATCGCTTGGAATTGATCTAGCGTATCCTCCAACCATACTTACCTTGAACTGATTTAAACTTTTCTCAACACTCTGTACTGTTCTACAACAATATAAGCTTTTTTTGGATTCACTGATCTGTGCCAACCTATTTTCTGAACCGTACTTTGTACTATACATAGTATGTTATATGTTATGGTATGGATTAATTTTTGTTTTCTCTTGGCACCCATTTGGACTTCCATAGTTTTTCTAGAGATCATTTATTGCACACTTCACAGGTTTAACGTTTAATTTTCAACCAATTATAAATGGTTTATCGACAGACAGATATTTAAACATAAAAAAACTAACTATTAAAGTGTAGAATCTAACTATAGTTTGCAGAAAAAAACATTTAATTAACATGAGTTCAAATTATCTTAGCATGTTATATTCACACAAATTGAGTTTATGACGATTTTGGCTAATTAAACTTAATTAAATGAAACATTTTAGATATAGTTTAAAATTACACATTTTCTGAAAATGTAAATCCTTTATGGTCATAAAAATCTACTATTAGTACAATAATAAAAAAATATACCAACCATCAATAGTTTTTAAAGAACTTGATACGTTAACATTTAAGTAAAAGAAACCTAGCTGTTTGTTAAAATAAATTATATTGCACTAAAACTAACTTCAAATGTTACCGTCGGCTGATAGACCTTTTCAAAATTAAATTCAATGGATGAAAACCCGAAATATAAAATTAAAACTATAGCTTCGAAGTTCTCTTACTTCCAAAATTATCTTTTAACGGAAGAATCACGAAAACCCGTCAAGTGGTGGATTCAGAATGTATAAATAAAAACTCCTCCCATGTTTTATTTAAGATTCTTAAACAAAAACTGAAAATATATGTACAAACATCACGATCTTCCAAAAAATCCAAACAGTTAAGTAACTGGTGTCGGTTCAGCTTATAAAAGACCCATATAAAAAAAACTAGTGGTTTTTATGCATGGATCGATTTATTAGAAAATCTGGAGTCGAAGATCTAGCCCCAGAATGTATATACAGTGCTCGATTTGGAAAAATGTGTAGCTGTACCTGCAAACCTGTTAGTCCTTATGTGATTAGTACCTATTTATGTATGTCTATTTAAATGCCGATGTTTTTATCTTTCCAAAATAGAGGTACCGGAACGCCGTGCCTTAGTATTCCGCCGCAAAATAAGCACTGTATATAATATGTGCCCAAGTGTTGCTAAGGATACGTGTTTCAACACCTGTTGGTCAGTTGGCCTATAGCAAAATATCTTTCACGGTTCTTCGTGATGGCAGCTAGTGCGTAACATAAGAAACTTTAATCATACTACAACTGGCACTATCTTATTGCATTGCTCCAATCAAACAATGTTACGTAACGTAATAGTTCTATCAACACTCAACAGATATTTAAAGTTAAACTACAGACGAACAGCGCTGTAACTTTTTATTGCCATGTTTGTAACTCTGCCATTATTTATGGTTGCGGTACTCGAGGGAGTCCAGTTGAACGATAACAATTGTTAACAATCGAAGCGACTACTGTACTACGAGTATTTATAGGTCTGTGGACTTTTTTGGCCACACAAAACAGGTCATGGTTGATTATCCGTGCTACAATATTGGGACATCATGCCATCTGCCAAATGTGTAACCTATTATTTTTATGCAACATATTACAGTACACAACGCCAAAAATTCCACCCAAATCACAATGGTAGCCTTTACCTAAAAGCACTCTATTCGAGTCAAAATAAATCTAATCTTGGTAGTGAAGTATTTCTTCATAAAAATAACCTAAAATTCAGTCAACTGGTATTGGCAGTTCCCAGATGACTACGTAATTAAGAATCAAAGCACCTAGGTTAATATTTGGTCGATTCAACAATAACCATGATATATAATTTCAATTTCCAACTAAGCGCACATTCAACTTCTCGATGTTTGATAGTTGATTTTTTTGTCAGTAGTCTTAGCATCAATGAGAGCAAAAGTCATAATATGACATATTATTTACCTACTAACACACCTTTTAACTGATTTTATAAGTAATTTACCAATTTTATCGAGACCCATGACTCACAGTTTACAGTCCATAAATTACGTGTTATAAAGTGTGTTATGTAGACGTAGAATGTTATCTACCTACGCGCAGCTTCGTATCATTGTGTGGAGCGAAGGGAAGCTCTTTGGGATCGACTTCAATGCAAACTTTCTAACACAAACTCAATAACGGCTGAACATATTTTAGCCAAACTTTTTAGTTGTTTTGTTAACTGTTTGGGAGGTTTAGACGAAACCAATTTCAATTTTTGATAATGCTTATCCGCCTATCTTCTATACTATTATAAAATTGGGGTGGTGTCTGTCTGTCCGGCTGCCACGGCTAAAATAAAATTACTAAACCGATACAGCCCAAATTAAGCACAAAGATTGTCCACGTACCTAGGAATGTCATATGACTATCAACTTCCCTGAGTTACTCTCGGGCTACGCCCCGTGGATGTCCAAAGCTTTGAGGTGACGTTTTCAAAAGTAAATATTAATTAATTGGTCTCCATGGAAGCATGAATAAATTCACAATCTTTGTTTACCTTTGAGTTGACATTTCAATGTAAACAGTCAGAACTGCTAAATGCTTATTTCACAATTTCAGACAGCAGATTCAAACAAATAAAATATTTTACACAACTATGTGGTAGGTTTATTTATGTGATTGATTATGGAAATAAAGAAAGGTTCTATAACCATAAGTTATGAACATTATGTTATTGATATATTTTAATGTAAACAGTAGGACAATTACAGTGTAAGTCATACTTAAAAAAGAAAAAAAATGGTAGCTCTTTGTTTATAAGTTCAATCTACTTAACAAGTGTTTGGATTATGCGGTATGGTACTGGTACATCTTCCCGTTGCAAAGCACGGGTAGAGCCAGCTAGTCTAATTTAAAAGGTACTCAAAGTTTTAAATTTCAACATTGGCCTTATGGGTTGCCATGATGGTTACAAATCAACGACGTAAATGTAAATTAAACAAAGAACCATAGCATATGTTAAAATCAAACTACAACCTAAACACAGTACAAAGGAAAAAATGGATGATGACCACTGATTAAATAATGCAGAGAAAGTCTTAAGTTTACATTTAAGTCGCAATTTAGAAACGAATACTGATCTAAGAGGTACAGTATATTACATGTTTGATTTACGTAGCTAAATACAGTTATTACAAATAACATTTATCTTATTTTATTGGGAATTGAAACAACTACATGTACATGATTCTACAGTTTTAAATAACTAGGTATTCTCAAATAAATATTTTTACCTAAAAAGGCTATTAAACATGCTTTCTTATTATTTACTTTGAAATATTTGTCATGATATCATCGTGTTGGCAACACACTTGTTTTATCTACAATATGTCTTTGAAAATCCGATTTTCTCATTATTTTATGGTCTTTTATAAGAAAATCACCATTAAAAATTAAAATTTCAAAAATGAAAAAAAAACTACCAGGATATGCTATGATGGATCTATGCTAGGGTTCTAATCCTCATGTCAAATTTAATAAAAACCGGATCACAGCTGGTCTGTAGCTCTGTACAAATCCGAACATACAGACAGACACACAGAGATATCACTCAAAAAACCATTTTTTTTGTGTTCAGGGGGGCCCAAAACGGATATATCTACCCAAAACTCGATCAAGATTTTTTTTACGAAAACTTTCTCACTACAGTACTGCCTATGTATTTGGTGAAAGTAAAAACAGGATCAATTAACGATCCGCTACCCAAAAATTCACACATAATTATTGTAAAAATACGAATATGTTAAATAATGGTAAATTGTGTTATTAAAAAGATTAATAAGCAGTAGTTTGATCGTAAATAGGACAATACCAACGAATTTGTCCATACTGAATGGACGGTTCAATAGATAAAATAAAACCATGTCAGCCTTCATTTATAAGTTGGCTAGTCGCCTGCGTTTTGTTTTATGTACATTCGTGATAAACAGGTGAGATAGCATAGTGTGTTGTAGTGTCAGTGTATGTGTCTACTTCACACCATGCTACATCCAGCCACAGCAGTGTTGGTGCTGTGCGGATGTCTACAGCTATATGCAGACCCCGGGCCAGTGGTGACCACCCTCTCTGGCCGACTCAAGGGTCGCTACTTCGGCACCAGGAATGGAAGAACAGTCATGGCCTTCTTAAGCATTCCTTTTGCCAAACCTCCTCTAGGACCACTCAGGTTTGAGGTAAGTAGCCGTGCTGATTGGCGTGTCTGTGCTTAAATTTTGTAACAATATTGAATAAATACACTGCCAGCGCATTTCCATGATCTGTTGTAGAAAGAGAGAATATAAAAATGACGATTTACAATGGTTTGAAATAGGCAAAATGTGTCCAGAATTATTTTTTTGCTCACACTGGTAAAGTGGCAGTTAATGTTGAGAAACTGTATATGAAAGAAAACTGTGATAAAAAAATACGTTCTAAGCCCTTATACTAACTATTTCAAATCAAGACTATTTCCTTTGTATTGATTATCTGACAAAACACCCATGTACAGCTGATCTCTTCAACTCCAGCTTATTATTTTTTACTCTATGGATACAATAAATATACATAGCCCCCGAACGCATACATTCAAAAAAGCAGTTTTTTATCAGTTATAATAACAGAAATGCAAACTTCTAACTAGATTTTCTAACTAAGATTTTAACTAGATAGAAGGTCTACGTAAGGTGCCGTTTCTATTAGTTATTGGGGTTATTGGATATCAATATACTAATCGTTGTACGTTGGCCTAAATAAGTAGGGACTATTTACTGTAGATTCCTTCTTCGGTGATAGTTCCATAACATTTGAAACTACAGTATTACTTATGTCAATGTGCTCTACCAAAATCGTAACTAAAAACAGTTTTTTGTGTTACTTTTGTTTGCAAGTTGTCTGTGGGCCAATAATAATATTTATTCGGGAAATTGATCTACGCGTAGATACTGTTTCATATCGAACTACGTTAACCGACCATTATGTTGGTATAATTGTTAGACTAGCTATTAAAAACAAATACAAAAATTATTTACATTCTTAATTGGTGGTTGATTTATCTGCACATAGTAGCTAAATAGCTATGCGAAGAACAGCTAGGAAGAGATAATATTCAATTTAACAGGTTTTAAGTTCATTTGAGTACGTTTTTTTTTTTGTAAAAAATGTAAATAGAGCATAGGCATTCAGATACTTCAATTTATTCGTTCAGTAGGTCTAGGTCATTATCAATTGTAGAGATGTTATCTAAGGTACATAACGCAGTTACTTCATATCTTTAAATAATTGCACTAGAACTGCAGGTAAGCGTTTCTTACACCTCTTGTCATCGGTATAAAAGTTGACTAAATGGCGAGAGACAACAATTTTTCAAAAGTCATTTTTAAATTCGATGAGAGCATTAATATGATAACAGAATTTGAGTTATAATTACGCTTTCATGAATCTGTAAGTAGCTATTTTCGATAACAGAGGATATGAAAGAAAGTAAATGTTTCTCAATCTCTTAGGTGCATTGTCACTGGTGCGGCTGAAACTGCAGTCGTTGGACGACAGTCGTAGAGCACCTGTTTAGCATTGTTTCAGTGGCACCCTTGTCACTGACGTGACTGTAGCCGCAGTCGTATCGTAGTCGTAGACGTCTATCGTACGGGTCTGCTCCTGGAGCAGTCAGAGTAGTAGTAGTCGTTGGACGATTTTTGAGGCATTCACAGCTTTTTCTAGAGAAAGTGCTCTGAGTGTACTCAGTCCCAATTCTTATGGAGAATAATTAAAATGTTAAATTCGGTTAGTTGTTAATTCATTTTATGATAATGTACTTTCTAAGTGGCTTTATGTGGTTGTATTACACATAAATGCATTAGCAACTCCCTGACTACGCAGGTTTGCTGCAACTGGGGTATTACTATTTTTTATACTGAACGTGTTTTATAAACAAAAATTATAACACTGGAGCTTTCTAATAGTTTATTAGCTTAATACAAAAATTTAACGAGTAAAAATAAACTATCCTACCAAGAGCAACTTTCCCATCTCCTGTGATTGGAGAGGCAATGTAGTTTGAAGAAGTCAAATAACTGAATAGAATAGTATTTTGTTAAAGCCTATTAAACTCATAATTCACTATTACTACTTCAACTCGGCAACAGTCAAGAAGCAACTGAACTATTATATAATAATCGTACCAGTGAAAATGCCTACTGCAACGGTTATTGCTGAGCGATAATCGTCCAACGCTGATCGTCCCACGACTGCAGTTCCAGCCGCACCAGTGACAACGTACCAAATTAGATCAAGGACCAAGGGAAAAACGAACAGTAGATTTCCCCTTGCTCTAAATTTACTTTCCCTTGTTTTTAATCAGTTTTCAATTCGCCCTGTACACATGCTAGTGTTTATTCATATTTCATGTTTTATTAAAATCAGCTGTATGTGCATAATAAGCTAGATTTGATCACTTTGATGTTATTTACCTCGTAGTGCATGTTTACTGCACAATCATCATAACCTTGACCTTATAATTCTCACGTTGTTATGAAGGTTTGCTATAACCATTTTGCTTTCATTTTTGTATTAAAATAATGTCAATTAGAAAATTAATAGTTTTAATTATTCTGTATGTGAGTATTTTTGCATCTTGGGGAAAGTATAGTTCATACCTTGTACTAAGGGTAGTTTTCTTAGAAAAATCACATTTTCATATAAAATTAAAATAATGTATATTAATTCTGAATTGCTGCATAGTATTGCATGTTTCAGCCTCCACAGCCCATAGATCCGTGGCCCAACGAGCGGCTGGCAGTGCTTCAGCCTAGAACATGTCCTCAGATATTAGATCCTACTAGTTCAGAGGACTGTCTGTATCTCAACATCTACACACCTGACGTACGTGCTAAGACACAGAGTTAAACTAACCTAGATGGACACTAATTTAATATAATTGAAACTCTTCAGTTACCGCAATGTCATCCAGGTTCTTAACGGTTTCAATTTAACAATTTCAACGCAATGGAATATTATTTGTGTAAATAAATATATATCTCAGTAAAAACAATGGGAGACTAAGTAAAAACTGTCGTAGTTTGCCTCAGATCGTAACAATTAAATTTTTAACAATGTAATAATTAAGTTGTGAGGAATAATAGCCAACAATATTTCTAAACTAAAGTAATGTTCCATCACCTAATCATAGGCCAAACAAAAATGCTACACATTTGTGTTTCAGAAAGACACAAAACCACTTCTACCCGTGATTGTGTTTTACTTCGGAGGCGCTCTAGAGATCGGCGGAATCTATGGCTATACGCCGGAGTTTTTGCTGGATGAGGACATCATCTTGGTGTTAGTGCAGTATCGGCTTGGACTTTTCGGTATGAAGTTAATATATGTTGGAGTTGGATCTGATTAAAGTTTATTCAAGCAATTGTTGAACAAATCCAAACGATATTTTGCTTGATTTAATTCATATTAATTATACCATTCCGTTACTTTACGTAGACTAGAATAGTTGGTTTGTGTGTTAACCTTCAAAACATCCACTGTAAGGAATTCGCACGTTGCCCTAATTTTACAAATATTATCACTATGTGCCGATAGTAAAATATTCTCTAAAGAGTTTACTTTAATATAGGTTTTAGATGGTGTTGGTAAGTTTCAATATGTAACAGGATTCTTGTCGACCGGAGACACCGTGGTCCCCGGCAACATGGGATTTAAGGACATGCGGCTGGGTCTACGATGGGTGAAGGACAACATCCGCTACTTCGGCGGCGACCCAGAGAAGATCACCATCGCCGGGGAGAGCGCTGGCTCTGTGGGAGTCCATTACCTCATGACGTTCTCTGCACACGAGGGTAGGTATGAGCTGTCTGCTGGCAGATGATAATCTTTGCTAGACGTTCAGGTTAAGTGATAGGGAGTTTAAATGATATAACAGATGATTGTGGACATTTGCCATCACGGCTAGTAAATAATACTCCCTCGCAGTGAACATCCAGACAATGTGAATTTGTATTTGCCTGATTGGCTTTCAGCAAGATATTTTCCCAGACTTTTCAAATGTATTCGCAATTGAAGTAAGCTGTATCACCTATCATTCACATACTAACCATAGCTACCAATAGCTTGCCAACAAACCTTATAATGGGTAAGCGGAGGGAGTAACTATTATATTTAATGGGGAAGACCACAAAAGTGGCAATAACTTTTCAACCATATTTTTAAAGCATTGGGTACATTGGGGGCACTGGTAGGTACAGTTTGGATTAACACTAAAAGGACCATTACATAGGCCTACTAAATCAAAACCGTACGAGCCGTTTTAGTGAAAATCCAATTTACCGTTCTTATGGGGTTTTATTGGAAAATCTAAGTGAAATGGAAAATCTATAAGTATGAGTAACGTTTGTGCACAATGATTTCAAAAACGGCTTCTATGATTTCCTCCAAATTGTTAGAAACATCTTAGTTTTAGGTAAAAACAATATCCATGCTAGAGTCGTTTCGGGCAAAATTAGTTTTCATTAAAAACGTGAAATTTTAATATTTTTAACATTAGTCTTATGGACTTACTTGGAAAAGTCATATTTGGAACAAGAGACTTTCGTTAAATTTAAAATTTAGAAATCTGTGTTGGCTATTAAATATAAATTAAAAATTAACAACAGCAAATAAATTGCTGCTATACAAAACTACTCTGAAACTGAAACCAGTGTGAACGTACGGTGTCCTAATGTGGGGACATAAATTATTTCAAACATAAATATCATCCAAAGATTTCAATTAAAAGTTTTAAGATTTATCCTTCAAGCTCCTTGGTATGTCAATAATAAAATTTAATAGTAAAATTCCAATGGCTGAAGAAAAAATAACAACATTTAGTGTAAAATTACCAAAAAAGTTGAAAATCATCCTAATCATCTGGCATTAAGCCTCTTGGACAATAGTACCGCTATATACAACAGACTGAAAAGAATTCATGTTTTAGACCTCAGCACACGCTTTGTTTAAATAATTTCATTTTATAGTGTTATTTTTTCCTTAATATTTTTAAGTTAGGTCTGACGATGGATAGAGATTAACTAAAGATTTATTAATTGTTCTCATATTTGCTGAGTGTTCAAAAAGCTGACCAAATTCAAATTGTAAATAAAATTGTGATACAAAAAAGTCTGATGGACTGTCAAGTAGCTATGGCAATTTAGCGAAAATGTAAATAAATGAGTTGCAACATAATGCTTGTAATTGTAACAAATCATCTACAGTACGATAGCAAATTACTGAATACAGTACAAAAATAAACGGTATCAGCAATCTGACACATACTTTCTCCCATTAGCTTGTCAACAACCTTTATCATGGGTAAGCGGTAGGAGTAACTGCGATTTTTTTCTACAAAATTATCACAGCTACTCCTAATTTGCAATAACTTTTGACCCGTAATTGTTACAGTAATGGAGTTTGCATTATTTTGTTTAGAATTATAAAGACCATAACACATAAATTTTAATCAAAACTAGGTTTTTCCTAAAATCAATTTTTCCATGAGTTTTTTTTTATGAGAAAATAACATAAGTTACAGTAACTTTTGAACCGTAATTGTTACGGAAATGGGATTTGTACCATTTTGTTCAGAATCGAAAGGACATACTAAATGTTTATCAAAATCGTTTGGGCTATTTCTGAGAAAATCTGATTTTTCGATGTTTTATGGGGTTTTATGGAAAAATCCCCATTAAAATCTAAATGAAAAATGGAAAAGAATCACCTGGATATACCATGGATAATATATCCTATAGCCTGGATATAGTACCTGGACCCCTACGTACCAAATTTAATCAAAATCGGACTACAGGTGTGGTCTGTAGTTCTGTACACATCCACACATACAGACACACACACATACATTACTACGCAAACAACTTTTTGGGGTTCAGGGGGGCCAAAAATGGATATATTCACTCAAAACTCAAACTCGTAAATTTAGACAAAAACAATACTTACTCCATATACTATGTATACAAAGGACATTATGTTATATTATTTTTGTATGAATGCTTTTGAGCATTGATTATATAATACACATAGGGCGTATGATTATTACTAAGCAATGGGGTGATTACGACCGCTCAAAAACATGAAGTCTTTTCCGCCAAACTATTGAACTATTGTCTGGAGGAAAGTCAAGAACGTTTTGTAGTTTTCGACGATGCACCGCCTGAATGGGGGAGTTTTCCTTAATTGATTACTTCAAAATGTCCACTACTTTCTGGGTAGCCCTCATAGATTCAGATGAGAGTTTCAATTCCATATAACTTGTTGGGTTTTAACTAGTTATCTGTTTGTGTGAAGGCTTGTTCAGAGCAGGCATCAGTCAGAGCGGCACAGCACTGTTTAGCTGGGCGTTCCATCCCCCGGAGGAGATCCGCAAGATGGTCGTCGCACTCGCCGTGCTATCAGGCTGTCCTTCCGACACCCAGGGATTGGTCGCTTGTCTCAGGGAGAAACCTGCCGCGGATCTGGTCCTTCTGTACACTGGACTATACAAGGTGAGGTCAGAGAAGAATCGAGGTTTTACTATGGTTTCATTTGATTGTCCATGCCTACTGTTTTTTGTTTTCTGTGAATAAGCAAATGTTTAGTAGTAATAAATAAACTTGACATGTTTTAGTTAGGCCACATTGCCAGAGTGACAGCAAAATTGGGTTTGTTTTACACTGTATCTCTCAATATCAAAGTTCTTGTTTGTATAGGGATACGAGTAGGTTATGTACATAGCATCACAGCGTCGCACACGTGCAATCTAACTTTTACAATTTCATAATGAAAATTCATTCATACAGTATTTCATTATGTCACGTTAGTTTATTTACTCAATTCGTTGATATTATTAAATTATAAAAAAATATTTTACTATATTTGAGCGCTTATGTAATTAAAATAGAAGCCTGGAAAGCCTCGAAGAAAAGTTCTGAGTTTAATTTGTATTATAATCCCTAGAATACAGCTGAAATAGTTGAAGTAGTATAAAGCAAAACAGTTTCATTTTATACCAGATCTTTTTTCGTAAATACAGTTTTAAAAGCTGTATTCTAACAAATTATAAATTCTCTTCTTAGTGGTAAATATTATTTAATGCAGATGAATTAACTACTGTATACCGGTCAAGTAAGTTAAATACAGTTTTATTAATATCATAATACACTATTTAATTAACTTTAAATTGCCTTCACTCACATTGAAAATACAAAATTAAATATTTCCATATTCATTGGTCAAGCTTAATTATGTTATACTATAGTCTGTTGTTGTAATGAGTAACCTATAATAAAGGTTAAAAACCTTCATTATAGGTTACTCATTACAACAACAGACTATAGTATAACATAATTAAGCCCTTATTATAACTTTATAAACCCTTTACATTTAAATGGTACCTACCATTATAACTTAACCTTCAAAATAACTCAATAATTAAACAAATCCCGTTTTCCGATGTTGCAGACTTTCATGTACTTCGACTTTGAGTTCTTCGTGACGGAGGTTATTCCTCTGATAGGAGGTGTGATAGAGCCGGAGTGTGTAGAGGACAGACTAATTACTGGTAATCCTTGGGATTTCAACACTACAACACCTTGGCTGGTGGGCGTTAACAGCAAGGAGGCCCTCATCGCCTTTACAGGTGAATCCAACAGAAATCACTAAAACTCTTGAAATTGTATATTTTACAAGTGCTGAAAAAGGAATTTTCCAGTGTACACGCGTATCCGAACATAGGAACAACAAATTTTACCTGAGACGCAAAACCAAATAAGCTATAAAGAGAATTTCACGTACGAGGTGAAGCCGACGAGAAAAATTGGAAAAATTGCCGGGAAATCAGCAAATGCCGGGTGATCAGTGTTATCAGACCGGGGGTTTATAGGGTAAAATTGGGGTTTATTATTTTTATCCTAAAAAATGTAAAATTTTCTGACTTATCTCCAAACCATTATAGAGAGCATAATAACAAATAATTTAGTGTTTATTGAAGTGTTTTGTACGGTTAATTATGTGAAAAATTAAAATAAATCATTAATTTGAAATTGCTACGTTATTTTTACAGAGGATAAGTAATCTGTTGTAATTTTTTGTTTATGAATAGGGTATAATTTGATCAAACTTGGCAAATTAATTTATTTTAAACTAATCTATTAATATTTTACTATAAAACACGCTTTATTAACCCCCTTGTAGCAGTAAACATAGGTTCCTGTTAAACCAATGTTTGTTAAATAGAGAATAAATATGACATTGTTATCGAGGCATTTTAGTGAAAATCAAAACAGGCAGATGAAAATTCGCTTACACTGCAGGCTTGCTACGGTGGGCTTACTTTTAGCATAGTGCGTGTTTGAAATTGCTCAAAATAATGTCTAAGATACCCGAGGATTGAAAAAAAGCTTCAGAGTTAACACTAAACACCTTCCACTAGGGCAATCATGGGAACGATATGGAGAATACAGATATACAGAAAGTTTACGGACTGGTGCAGAGTACAAAATAAATAATGTAAGGGGACGAATTGCTCATATTTATTTATCTGAAAAATATTTATTTGAAATAATCTTTAATTATAAAATTCTACTTTTTGGTCTAAAACTAAAAGAAGATGTGGATGTTTCAAAGCATCAATTAACTTATAAGGAGTGATTGTTATCAACGAAGAAAACGTCACAATAAACATCACCTTGAACTTTGCTATGGACAATTTTCATTTGTTTTGATATTAAAAATGTTAAAATGTTGATTGAGAAATTTAATAGTTTTAGTTTAACTGAGCTCTGTTATTCTGCATATGTGAATAAAAAACATCTTTATGAATGAAAAGTGTAATTCATAACTCGTACCGGAAGTGATTTTCTGGCACTTGCTCCATTAGTACCGTCCTCGGCTTCACCGCGTACTTAAAAATAACTATCACATGCTCGGATTCGTCTCGAACATAAAACTTGGTTTCCCTACAGTTACCTAACAATGTACATGTTCTCTCACTGATTTGAGAAAGCAAAGTGGCCAACTCGCTCATCAGTGAGACAATGTTAACATTGCCTCACTCTAATTACTTTGTCTCACTCCAGATTTGCAATGTGAAGGCACGAAATAGTGAGTGCGTAACATGCAGACAAGGTTGTATACGTTGGCAGCACTGGCTATAAATCAGCTGGTCAGCTGTTGTACTGTTGTATTTGTCACTTCACATTAAATGCTATATTAAAAGTTCACTTCTGTGTAAAAATATGTTACGTTTTTTCACCAATTTATTTGTTTTATGGTAACTGTAGGAAAAATATAATGTGCAACTCGAGTGCAAAGTACAATTGCCTCACTCGAGAAACCATTCCTCACTCGCCTTTGCTCACTTTGCTCACTATTTGCACAAATAACTATTTCCTACATTTATTTGGAGTTCAAATTAGGTAAACTTTTGAATTTGAATAACATGCCTTGTTCTATCCATTCTCAAAAAATATATCGCAAGGAATTATTAGCACATGTTGTGTTCAAACGAAAAACTAGTTAGGAGCAAGGAAAAAATAATTAAGAGTACGTGAAAATTTAGCGAATCACTTTCCCTTGCTTTGAGTTTGATCCAATAGTTAATGGATTCATGTTGGATAAAAGGATTTTTTTTTAATCAACTGTCATCGATAACCCGTCATCAGAAATTTAAGAGCCCGTGGTTCAGAGCCCTACGCAAATATAGAAGCGGTTATGGTCATACTTTTGAGTGCGAGCCTTCCTCCAGTACAACCATAGGTGCATGGCAGTAGATGGTCATGGAGAATTAACTGGACAATACAAACCTCCTGGACAATATGGATAATTCCGATTAAAATGCATGTTATGATCTAACTGAATAAATGTAATTATTCCAAATAGTTTAGTGATATTTGTACATTTAGAACTACGGTGCTTGAACATTGTAGTTTTATACAAGCCATGTTACACAAATACTGTTACAGTGGAGGAGAACGACAAGACAGACATTGGCTTCTTCTACATCAACTCTCTGTACGACTTTTATTTCCCCTTCGCCGTCAACTACGTCAACAGCAAAGCTAACGGAACCGCGGTTGGGTTTGCGGCGAGGGACTTCTACCTACACAACCTACCCATCAGTCGCCTGACACTGCCTGAGTTTATAGATGTAAGAGACAATAATCACCCGACCAATAACTACTGTAATTATGCAATTTAGGGATTATACAAGACATTTCCACTTCAATAATGTTAATTTATAAAAAAAGGTATTGGCAAAAGTCAATACTAGGTCTTTGGGTGATGAGCGTTTCAAAATCAATGAAACACTTCTGTCCTTAACTGTTTGGTCTCGTTATAGAGTGCCATCTTCATGCTGTAGATACGTCAACTGTGCGAAGTCATGTCACCCGAAGATGGCACTTTACACCTAGGCCCAACCGTTGGTCAAGAGAAATGTTAACCACGAATATAATTTTATTTGGCCGTACATGCCTATTCATTAATATATTGACAGTTTTGTGAATATACATAAGAAATAGTTTCAATAAGCATACGAAAAAGGATCAGTTTATCAATAACTATAAAAGTGACGTAGATTTTATGGCAACTTAGTATATTACATGGGATGAATAACGGTGTCAATATAATTATTTAAATAGGGATTCCACTCTAATCCATGGTCAAATCATTCATGCTTTAATTCATATTACAAACATGTTTACTTTCGGGTCAGTGACGTTATCTGTTTATGTTTACGACCCATAGAGTTCTGTTGTAATATCCATGGCTGAAATGTAACAAAAAAGTAGATAATGAAATAGGCAATTATTAGACCGTTTTATATACTTCACATACTTTTTGTTTTAAGATGCTAGATGGATCATTGGAAAAACGTTTTATTGATTTTGTGTAAACAACAAAACCATTAAAAATTGTTTTATTTTTATTTTTACATTACAATAAAGAATAATTATTATTTCAATCTGATTTGAATATTATGAAAATAAATGGCACGACTGGGCTTTGTTGATCAATGTTGATAGTTTATCTGTTTTCTATATTCGATTCTAAGAACTAATAATTTTTTCCAACCTCCTCTGTTTCAAAGTCTAGACAAAAGTTATAAAATTGACCGAAACTCATTTTACCTCCCTTTTATAATTGGTTGACAAATTCATTCAAACTAGTGTAGGTACATTTGAGTAATTGCAAAGTCTTACAACAGTTATTTTAAAACTAATAACAGTCATATTTAGAATGAGTTTAAAAGAGTCAACTCATTGATTACCGGTGTGTAACTCATTGAAATACCCACGATGTATTGGTATATAACAGTTCGATATAATCAACATTTCCTATAAATATTTTATCATATTTCATAAGCTGATATTGTTTTTTAGTGTTTTCTACAAATATTTCTTGACTTATAGCCGCATAAGGTTGTCCATGTTTATCTTTGTTATTGATAACGTAGCATGCGTGGTATCCCCCTTGCCGCCAGCAGTAAGTTTACAAATTTCATTTTTTTATAAATGAAATAAACGGTATCAGCATTCTGACACATACTTTCTCCCATAAGTTTGTCAACAACCTTTATCATGTGTAAGTGGTGAGAGTAAATATACGGAAATGGGATTTGTACCACTTTGTTCAGAATTTAAAGGACTATAACATGCTAAATTTTTATCAAAATCGCTCGGGCCGTTTTTGGGAAAATCCGATTTTTCTGTTATTTTATGGGGGTTTTAAGGGAAAATGACAGAATTTACAATAACCTTTGAACCGTAATTTTTACAGAAATGGGATTTGTACCATTTTGTTCAGAATATAAAGGACTATAACATACTAAATGTTTATCAAAATCGTTCTGGCCATTTTTGGGAAAATCATATTTTTCCGTTATTTTATGGGTTTTTATGGGAAAATCCCCATTAAAAATACAAATTTCTAAAAAATGAAAAACTATCGAAATTGTAAGGACCATAACATAAGTACTATGTTAAATCAAAGCCGGATTTTTGTCTAAAATCCTATTTTTTTGTTTTTTATGGGGTTTTATTGGAAAATAACATAATTTACCATAACTTTTGAACCGTAATTTTTACAGATATGGGATTTGTACCATTTTATTCAGAATTTAAAGGGCTACAACATACTAGATTTTTATCAAAATCGTTAGGGCCATTTTTGAGAAAATACGATTTTTCCTGTTTTTTATGGGTTTTTATGGGAAAATCCCCATTAAAAATGAAAATTTCAAAAAAATGAAAAAAACGCCTGGAGATACCATGGATTAGAACCTACATACCAAATTTCATCGAAATCGGACCACAGGTGTGGTCTCTAGCTCTGTACACATCCAGACACACAGACACACACACACACACACACACAGACATCACTTCGAAAACCACTTTTTTGGGTCCAGGGGGACCCAAAACGAATATATCCACTCAAAACTCAAACTCGAAAATTTTGACGAAAACAATACTTTCTCCATATACTATGGTATAGGGGGAGAAAGTAAAAAATTGGTTCTCATTACCTTAAAGAATTTCTGCATAACCTGTCTGCCACAATTTCATTTGTTGAATAGGCGTTCTTTTGGTTAGTGGAAATTCCATGTTTCCTACTAATATTGTAGCACTTCGGCTAACATCCTCGTCCATCGTTTGTAGGGATCTTTACCTTGTAGGCGTTCTTCATGATATAGACTAATAACGATAATAAACAAAATATCTCTATTTCTTCTACTTAGTGACGTTCCTATTTTTCCCACATCGTATACGATAGTGAGCATAAGTAATGTTTGGTATGCAAATAAATGCTTGTCTACGAATGTTTCAGTTATCATCAGATGCCATTTTCATCTATCCTACCTACGAAGCTGTGAAGAGAGCCAACAAAGAACAGACTTACGTCTACATATTTGATCACGTGGGACCATACGAATACTTCCCGGTACCACCAGATACGCGCATTGGCAAGTAAATATGAAATTCACATAACATTAGGCGTGTTTGTATATTGTACAGTATATACATGTCATAAAAGTGTTTATAAAGGTTCATTCGTGTATGTAAACAATACTTTATTGGCTATACAAATTAGGGTTGTAAAGGTTTATCTAAAATAAATATTTTATACACAATCTTCTAATTAGTTGTAAAGAATTATTTTTCTCTCTAGGCGATGACAGACTTAGCTTTAACTTACTATTTATAGTGTATGTATTGTATAGTTTTTAAATGTTAGTAGATGTTATTAGTGTAGTTGATAAATGTAGACTACGAGCAAAAAGGCTAAGCTAATATTTTAAAACAGCCCAAAAAAAAACTGTCTGAATAAAAAAGTAGCCCAACCTTTTGTAGGTTTTATGTACATTCTAAGACAATAAACTATAAAACTAAAATAAATAATAACTACCATCATCAGAATGTGAAACAGTAGATTACATTTGGTACTAATAATCCATTCTTCCACCGTCATCGAAAGCTGTTAGCAATATTGAATTTATTCTGTTACGCTGAAGTGAGCCAATAATTTCATTTCTGATTAAACATTCTGTTAAATATAGCTTAGCTTCTGAACAGTGTAAAAGTCGCTTATTATGAATAATCTGTATTTCCTTGAATTTTAGCTGTGATTTTTGACCTGATCAATGTTGTTAAAAATGCGAAGGATCGAGAGATTAGTTAGGGAGTTAGGTGTAGTTAAGGTCTATAGTCAAAGGTTTTGACAAAACACGTAAAATAGATGTTATAGTAAGGAGTACAGTATTTTACAGAGTTTTGTGGGCTATGTTTAAGACAAGAGTAAGCCGACTCCCAATGACTTACTTGAATCCTGAAAAAAGCTTTGTTTTATTTAAATACTACGGAGGATGGTTGATATTTTCGTAATAGAAACAAAAGTATTTTCTTATCATATCCATGCTCATCGGGCTGTGAAAAACTAGTTTCACAATTAAAGGACTATTCATTAATCTTAAGTTATGTTGACAACATAAAGCAAAAAAAGTGTTTGGAAAACAGCGGTTAAAAATAAAAACATTTGATTAATGTATACATTGTGTTGAAAGTAGGTTTGTAACCGTGTGCCCTGCCTAGGTGCGGCCCACGCGGATGATCTGTTCTACTTCTTCCCGCACCCTGCTATTCCCTTCCCTACTGTCGTGCCCGAGAACGACCCCCTGCCTAACGAACAGGAGCTCTCGAAGACACTGGTTAGGATGTACGCCAACTTTGCTACATGCCTGTGAGTAACACACACACACTAGTGTAATATAACATCTGTACACTATTGAAGATTATGAGAGCTATAAAATATCCCAATATTTACAAAAGCACGCAACTCTTGGAAGGTATATCTACAGGTAACATTACCGGAAGGCAGATTTCATAAATAAATTATTGTTAACATAAGAAAACTATGTAGAGAAACCTGGCCATCTGTGCGTATGGCCGAATCGTGATGTGAGGTTGTCATCGTTTGCCAGTTTTATCAATTTAAATATTCTCCAGCTTTTAGTGCCATTTAAAAATAAAATAAAATAAAATAGAAAATACGAGTATTTACGACTGTCTGGCATTCATTCAGTTCATTCCAAGGAAAATGATGATTTTGTTAACGCCAGAGACTCCATCTGAGTAACTTATTAAAAGCTAACTCTAATGAATATCTGATACAAAATTTTGAATGCTGCTAATGAGATACTAGTTACAACAGTAGTCTATAAGTAGTGTGTATACAATCTATTTTGATCAATAAAGTCAAGGAGAGGCGTATTATAGCGTTACTGGTTTAGGAAATACAACATGTTTTTATAGCCTTTATGGAACTAGTCTTGTAAATATTATATTGACCAGTTAGTAAAGTCATGCATAAAAAAACTGCCCTAAAATGTACACAGCTTATATTTAATTAGTAGGTTGACATTTGCAAGTAAAACATCAATTTATATGCAATTTGTATGCTTAAACTCCTTTAAGCAAATTTTGTCTACTTGTTTACTGACGTATATGTAATCTTACATTTTTAAGGTAATATTTTAGTGTAAATAAAATCAGGCAAATGAAAATTCACTTAATCTGCAAGTGCAATTTTTCAGTAACTGGGGAGAAATCATTACCCCGCACAGGCTTTGCCTATTAAGCTCCAGTTCATGTGTTGTTACAATGATGTATAACACTGAGTTTTATGTATTTTGATTTCACTTGGAATATCTGTTTGGATTTGATCTTGACTCCTTCTAAACTGCAACATCAATTTAAATGAAATCTGGAACACTGTTTGTACACATAGCTCTACTGTTATACTAATTATAATGTATAAAATAACTTCCATATTACGAGTAAATTATCAATTATGAGTGCGATTTAAATCCTTTGACAAACTAACATGAGAGAATGGGAGGATTTTCAGACCGGCTTATCTTCTCTCAACCGTATACCATAGTAAACTCTGAATGTGTGAATGTTTGTTACCAGAAATCCTACGCCAATGAAAACTTGCGAGATCCAGTGGAAGCCGTTTTTCCCAAACGAGACATATCTTCACATCAAACAATTCGGCTTTGAGATGAAACAGCCTTTCTTACCAGAACGAATGGAGTTCTGGAGCTCTCATGAATACCCATATAGAAATGACAACTATGGTAAGAAATATAGCCTTTTCTGTCGGTTGTTTAGAGAGTTTCGATGCTACAATGAAATGTATCAACACGCAGAAACGTTTCCTATCGACTTGTTTGCTGGAAATATGCATTATAATGGTATGGTTTTTCATTCATTAAATAAAAGCTTATAATGTATAGAAGTTATACAGATATGTAGTACTAAACTGATAACATCAACCTATAGCTTATGTTAACATTTTTTAGCCCAATAAATTGCTTTCAGTAAGCTTGTGTAATAATTCAGTGTGTATATTTTGGGATCATTTACATTAAATGTGATGTTTTTTTGTAACGCGAAAGGTTATATGGTAGATAGTAAGGAAGGTTATAATTGTTTTAAAATTGTTTACATGTTGTTTCAGTCTTTAAATCTTGAGATGAAATTAAGCTACAAAGTTTGTTTTCTAACTGGGAATAGGCTACGCAGTTTGTTTAATTCATATGGAAAGGGCGTTCACGAGAAACATTTTCAACTAAAGAAAAAATTAGCCATCCTTATATGATTAGCTAATTCAATCTTATGAACTAGTCTCTATGACTTTGACTTATGAATAGTTAGCAAGTTATTTATTTATAATGTCCTCATAGTATATGTATTCAAGGAAAATATAATATAGTTTGATAGTTACTTCGTTGATGGGCTAGAATGAAATCAAAGCTCACTAAACAATTAAGATTCCTTAATCAATATCTGTTATTTATTTTTATTTTAAACAAATTTTTTTATTGCAACGTTGGATGTAGTGTCCTGCATATTACAATGATTTCAGTTTGTAAATCTCTTCAGTTCATTAAAAACGAATTAAATATTTGTATGTTAAACGTTTTTGAAAAGTTTTTGTTAATAGAAACGCAGTACCAAAATTTTAATTAAATAATTGACAACTAACCGCGTTTTATACACATAAAACATTATAGTATTAAATTTATTTATTTTTATTTTTATTTTATTGTATGAATTTTATTTTTAGAAATGCCACGTTGTGTCAACGAGACTTTCCTAAACATCACAACGTTCCTGGAAGAGTTTAGCTTCAACTGAGGCATCTGCCTAGGCTCGTGTCTACAACTCCGGTGCGCAGAGGCCACGTGACCTGTCAAGTGCGAGCGCCTGACTATTAGTATCAGTAGAATGTAAATAATAATGTTTATGTTAAGTTAATTCATGTTTATCGCATTTTCATGTATATCACTTTATTTTAATTTGTGCCTTTTATCGTTCTGCTATTTGGAAAAAAATACTACACTGAAAAAAAGATGGTCAGAGCTATCATTCTCGATGATTGATAATACTGTATAACCCACAGGTATTCCATGTGATTTTATGAATATTATAATGCTCGATATTTGTATAATATACAATTTACAGTTTTAACCTACAAAACACCCTTATACAATGTTAACTTGTGTGGTTATGCATTTATACAGTGTGTTACACAACCGATGATGACCAATAGTAAATAAAACCTGCACATATCCCTAACACAACATACCTTGTGTGGCTATTTATTTGTACAGTGTATAATACACATAACCTAAAATGAACAACAGTAAACCCTACACAACTTAATACAGTAGAACCCCTCATAATTGATAGACCCCTCATGATTGATCATATACGGCCACCGTTTGTAAAAAAAATATATTTTTAGGTTAAAGTCAATATATAATGAACGTACAAATATTATGATTCCAGGTAACATAACTATTAGGTAATGGAGGTAGAAATGACAATAAATCTGACCTGAAGATCATTAGGACTTAAATGGTACATACATTTCTACTCAATTTCCTTATCCATGTTGTGAAATGCAAAATTAATTACTGTGCTGTACTAACCCCGCTTTGAAAATAATCAACCAACTGTTCAGAGGTTAGGTCCTACAAGCTCAACACATTATTTATTTTACTATGACACAGCAAATAAATGTATAAACAAACAGATAAATAGTGAGAACAATTGATTTTATGGACAGTTTATTTTATGATTTGAGCGGTCGCAAAGACACAACTTGCAACTAAACGTCTGTAAGATGTGAGAAAAACATTTTGATACTGTACAGTTTTCTTTGAGCTATGTTTTTGTTCAGTATAGACTACAAAAAATATATAATAAACACTAGTAAAATTATAATACAACTTCCCTCGAGCGGTTATGTATTTATAAAGTGTAGAATGTACAAAACCTTTATTGGACAATAGTAAAACCTGAACACATCCGTAATACAACAATCCTGTGTATTGTATAAACGTATAAATAACGTATAAATAATGTGTGATAATACCAACCAATGGTCTCTTAATCTTAGATTTTTTCAGGTTATGTATACAAAGCTGAATATTAACAAATCATCACACTGTTAATTCTTATGTGAATATTTTATTTTATTATTATAACCAAATAAACTATTTTAACTCTAGTTGTTTATAATATTGCATTTATTCCCTTTTCCAAACAATGTATTTTTATACCTTCAACTACTAATACATATAACAATCTCATACTAGAAATTTGCCAAAAAAACCAATGTCATGGAAATAATCCAAAAAAAAACTTAGATGCAATAATAGTTAAAAATTGTTTTTCCTGTAGACAATCAGCATGGAGTTTTTATGACAAGCCAATGGATTAATTGGAGCGGTAACCTGTCAGCTGTTGTTGATTTGTTGATCCACAGTGGCTTGAAACAAGTTGAACCACCGAAAATGAGGAATACCCAGCGATCACATCACCTCCTTCCACCATGACCTGAATACATGGGATCAGTCATGGGACAGATCTGCTGCCTATAGATAGACATTCGCTGAACAGTAGCAGCTAGCTGTGTGATAATACCAACCAATGGTCTCTGAATTTTAGATTTTTCTCCATTTCAATGTTTGCTATCATTTATTGTAGGAAGCTTTATTTTTCAAATCTCCGGAGACACTATTGAAAGCTATACAAACCCGGGAAGTTAGTCAATTTAGGCAAATTCAAGATATATTTTTGAAACCATGCTGTATACGAAGACTTTCCTGAAAATATTGCATAATATTTGGCCACAAATGAAAAAAGAAACTCATATGCAGACACACAAAGTTCCACCTAATGTAAATAACGTATAAATAATGAATGATAGAGGAAGGTCTATAGCATGGCCATAAAAAAGTCCAGACTGTGTGACATCATACTATGAAAACATAATATGAAGTCAAATCGAAAATTTAATAAATTTTCGTTAAATTTAATCTAGTACATACATAGATTAAAAATATTAAAATTAAAACAAACTTATACAAATAGTATGTCATAAAGTATAACGGGATACAGTATAAATAAAATATAGGAAAAACTGACATTAAAATACACAACTAATAAAAAAGACTAATTTTGCAGTTGTTTTGAAATCGAAGGAAAAAATGTATACTGTCTCCACTGTTCTGAGGAAAATGTTGTGCATTGCGAGTGCTGAAATATACCGTCCAAAGGAAGTCTGCAGAGCTGCAAATTGTGGCCAGGTTTAAGAGTATTGCTTAAACCTTTATGATTCAAGGAGTGGAAAAATAAAAAAGTTAATGTAAATCACTAAGTCGAGTAAAACTCGAGACTCGGCACGAGGGATACTTCGTGTATCCTGTTCGGTGTTTTAATAGTAGGCCTACACGTGTTAAATGTTCGTTTGTGTTATGTGTTCGATTTTAAACTCTGACGTGACCATATGTGTCGAAGAATGAAGATTTTAATCTTCAAGTTCAGGATCTGAAGATGGCAATATATCTGTCGAAACGCGCGTAATCATACTGGATTAACAAAACCCACAAGGCAGTCAGTCTGCAGGTACTGTAACCGGTACAATATTATGAAGAAGAGGTGATGTCTGTCTGTCTATTTGTACGGGATAAACTCATACTGAGCCGATTGTACTTAAATTTCACCATTATACTGTACAGCTACAGTATCAACTATCTAGGATCAGTTGAGAGATATTCCCGCTTCACTTACATTTTGTAGTTTTTTTTGTGTAAAGTGGAGTAGTGAAATTGTTGTGGACAATGGTAGTACGCAGATTCCTTTGGTTACTAGGTAAGTGTGTAATTATTTTAAGTGTTTTTGGTGTTTTAATTACTAATAGTTATCAAATTTTAAAATTTTTTAGCAGTGACATTTTCGTATAATTTTACCTTTTGCTTACTCTGAACTCGAGATGATGAGCTGCAGGGATAATAGAATAATTTGGGCAAAAATCTATATTTTGATACTTCAATGTCAACTAATTTATTTGTTGCTTTACGATAGTATTATATCGTAAGATTATTTTTTGCTAACTGATTTTAAATGTATGTAGTTTTTTTATACAAAGCATTTTTTACTTTATCCAAAATATTTAATCTATTGGGTAAACGTGATATTCCCTTTCTTTAAGTTAAGGTACTAAAGATGTTTCAGCCTTATGTCGTAATTGAGCCCTAACGACCTTTTGGCGTGATGGCAGCTGTGCGTTTTGAAACTACAGCTCTATCCCATCATAGCGCCCTGAACCAAGAACAGGTTCTGCCTTTGACCAATTGAATATTCAAACCAATATTTTTAACGATTTTGGCAGATTTCCGTAATTTCTTCATCAAACTTGCACCAAGTAGAATGCATATAAATGTCTGAGAGATAAATAATAATAATTTTGCTTAGGTGAAATGTTTGTGGCTCTACATAAATGTTTCAACCATGATAATTCAAAACCATGTTAATTCCATTATTTTCAGAGATTGGAAATAAATTTAAGTAGAACCAAAGGCATATCATTCATCGATAACTTACGAATCGTCACTCTTCAGCACACATAGCTAAAAAAAACGTTCTGTGTGTCTTTCGTATTTTCTTTAGCTATGAAAATATTTTGTAAAATCCACTTTTTAATCAGAGGAGTAAACATAGGTTCACGCAGATTTTATGTATTTTTTGTTTATAATTGGCATATTGAGCACAAGATTTAACATGTCTTTAATGCTAATTAGTTAAGTGTTTATGCATTCGAACGTTCAGATGTAAGTACTGTCATGCAAAGAACAGGCAATCGCTACTTTGTAATCGGATTGCGATTTCCCAAAATGTATCTGGATATTTGAAACCTTAAGTAACAGAGTATAAACGATTACTTTGTGTATCGGCTTTGAAATACTACTCGAATTAGAAAATATACAAATATTTAAATATAAAATACCACTTAGTTTTACAACGCGATTACAAAATTGCCAAGTACCTACCAAGAATATTAGAACAGTAATATTTCTGTCACTTACCTATGTTTATTTCTTACTAAGGAACGAGGTAACGAGTAAAGAGTATCGTCGTATTTGTGTCAGGTGGTTATTTCTAAATCTAGCACTGTTCGGACGGTTGGTTAACTGTTGCATAGTTAAGCAAATCAAAATAGTATTTTCGTCATTTGTACATACAAATACAGGGTGGGGCAATGAGAACGCCACAATTTGTTACAGCTGTTAGTTGTTGCAACAATGAATGATCAGCTGTGCTTATTACATCAATTAAACTATGCCATTTTAGTAAATATTATGCCTGAGGCTATTAACACTGAGATTTTGATTTGGGAACCTATTTTTAAAATACAGATTCTTGTGCAAAAACCCAGAGATTGTTTGGACCACATTACATCCTTGGTCAACATGGCGCTGTTCCAGATTGCAAAACAATGGTGAACTGGGTAAAATTATTATGATAAACGCTTAAACCTTAAAAATAATCGGTGGGTGCCGCAAAACTCTTTCTACAACAGCAAATGTTGAAAGAGTGCGAGTCACAGTAACTCAAAGTCCAAAGAGATTTGCCAGGAAGCTTTTGTTGCTGAAAGCTTTACGTTATGGCTCTTTTTTTTGGGGGGGGGGGGGTTATTCTAATAAGCTACTTGAAGTTCGAGGTTTTTCAAAGTTACCCCACGGATTAGCTTGAACCGAAGCTAAGACTTTTCCAAAAACTAAACTGATTCTTGAAGAAATGCTGGAGGAGTATTTGATTGAGTTTTCAAGTGACTAAAAAGAAATGTCAAGTAGGACAAAGACGTCACTTTCAGGATTTTGTTTTTAAAATTACTTTGTTAAGTTAAAATTACAAAAGATAATCTGTGTTTTGATGTGCTATTTATATCCATAGGGTGAATATTAATGAATTTGTACTGCTTATAAATTGGGGCGCTTTCATTGCCCAATCCTGTATATTTAATTTCATTTTATAAATTTCTCTAAAGATTTGTTTTATCGATTAATTTTATGTATGCCATAATAATGAAGCATGCAAATTCACAATTTATTATCGTTAGAGCTTAATGTGTCATAAATTATGCAAGAAAATAAATAACTGGCTAAACTTGTCTTGATGCTCCGGTGCTCAGAATGCCGTAACCAACAACCCTGCGCTCACAACAAATATGAACCGTTAGATATAGACACAAGTTGTACGTTTCTAATTTTAGATTATAAAAAGTGATTCAGTGATCACTAAATAGGCCTATGTTAAGGCCTTATATAGGAGGCTATGTTAAGCAATGATGCGATATTTTAGCCAATTTGTTTATTGGTTAAAACATCAAACGACCAAATCCAGGTTTACATTCCGTAGACATGCAGAGTTGTGGTTTTGTTACCATATGTTCTGCAACCGATCTTTTTCCGTTAATTCACTACCACTTTTTTTTATTATTGCAATTCCGTTTATTCATTACTAGAATTCATAATCAGCAAGTTGGGTTGGTTAGGTTAGTTTAGAATAGTTTAGTTTTTTAATTGATATATTCATAGAGTAGGCTCACTGTTAAAAATATCGTCATTGCTATAAAGAAATTAGCGTTAAGTAAATTAACGGAAAAGAACCCTGCAAAACTTCCTTAAAGCTAGGCCTATGCCATTGAGACTTTTAGGTTTCTTACCGTTGATAGTACAATTGCATAACTACAAAATTAATACGCCACACAGAAGTGTAATTAACACCAAAGTTGAACTGGTTATGCGTTTCATTTGCTATGTTGCTTCTGACTGAATTACTATTATACTAGACTGGATTTGTTTTTAGTGACTCCTTTGAAACAAAGAAATTTTGCTATTTCCTTGATATCCACAAACTATGAATAAATGAAACTACATATCAATGCCTAATTATTCATATCCTTCGAATGTCAAAACATCGTGTATGGCTGAACCTGTGTTTTGAGTTTGAGTTATGTTTGTATTAGCGTTAGTACTGAATAGTTTAAGATAACAAAATTCAAATGTTAAACTAGGTCCAAATAGACTTGATACTATTTAATAGAATACCAGTCGATTATCTGCGTGATAGTATTGAATAAAATTAAAACTGCAAGAAAAGCAAGAAACTATAGGTTTACAGCTGAGATCATAAATAACAGCCGTCGCAGTCGGGTGATAGTGGTGAGTGTGTGGAGATACCACAACAGTCAGTGATGATGTACCGGTGTTCTAGCACCCTAGTGGTGCTGCTATGTGGCATGTGGGGGGCGTCTGCCTTCTTCGCCATGGACTCGCCCCGAGTGGAGGTCGCAGGAGGGAAACTCAGAGGCAAGTTTGTGCTTACCAAGGAGAACAAGCGGATCAGGGCCTTCATGGGGATACCGTACGCGAAACCGCCTGTCGCGGAGTTAAGATTCAAGGTGAGACGACTAAATTGGCTGTTGAAATGTTCACGATTTTTATCAGAGTAAAACGAATAATTTAATCTTAATGTATATCATGGCAAAAAAAACTAAAAAAAATATTTAATAGCTAGGAGCGATGCATTGGTTTAATTGATACCTAACAATAATTTATGTAAATATTTGGGACATTAACACGCAGTTGTAGGATATATATAAATATTTGACGAAATTGCAAACCATGCTGATACTACCGACAATTTCATATATAACAGTTTAATACAACTATTATTTGTAAAAACAAACCTTTCTCAAACTTATCTGGCTAGTAACAATTGTTTGATTCTATAAGTAACAATTAGTTTTCTATTTTTTAGAATAGGTAGTAGCTATTTGTATATTAAATTACTGTTTTCCATGTTAACCTGAGTGTTTACTTGACAAACCCGTAAATATCTCTGAACAAAACCGTTACGTTCAAAACAAAATGGTTCAAATGGATATTTACGCAGTTAGATGTTTCAAATCAAAGTCACATTCAAGAAAACATCTCAGTGAGTGAGAACTATTGGATTGTTCAATAGAAATAGATTGTCTTCGACTATCTTTTTCGTTTATTTACCTCCTTGTACGTAATATTCATAACGACGTATCTAACCTTTAACTTATGTTCGTATTTATACTGAATAGTATGTATATGTGCAGAGGAAAAAAACCTCTACAGTAAAAAAACCTACCAGAATGCTCTGTAAGTAATAGGAAATCATGGAACAACGCATGGCCTTCATTAATAGAGGATGAAGAGAACAATATTAATTCACAACATTACAAGATATATTTTAGTAGACATGTTATTCTGAGTATTTATTGTCGAAAAAAGTGGTAGAAAATTCAATTATTTGTATCATTAGTAAACCCCACACCACTGCATAGCGTAAATAATTGTACTGTTTGGGTTAATGCTATGTCCTCTTGAGCTCATTACGAATATACTGTACGTCAGAACTCAAGGGATTGGTTATATACATGGAACGTGTTTGTTAATATAATTCTTAATGCTTCATGTGATTGCTGGATAAGCCAAAAGAAAACTGGCATTTTCTGACATCGTCCATACACCAGCTCTGCTATCTACAAATACCGTATTTATTCTACAGCAACATGAGGAATTTAACCTAAGTCAACATTTATATTTCCTCCTAGGATGCCTTATAGAGAAACTGTTCAAACAAATGTTTATAAGAATAAGTAACATGGGTACAAACAATAGTCATATCACAGTTGTATTGCATTGGATAGTCAACTTTCAAAGGTGAAAAAACTTATAAAAAGTAACTTATAATCTCCTGCAAACAATTGAAGTTACATTCATACAACTTTCACTAAAACGATAAACCGAGCTGGAAGGAAGAGTAGTCTTTGATCACAGCAAAGTCATTTGAGTAAGTAGCTACACCCTTTGTCAGACATATCAGTCTTCTCCTTTACAGAACATGCAGATATTCTGTTTCAATTTCAAAGCACCAAAGATCATCTGAGTCTGCTGATTGTTTGATGTTTTTAGCATCAAGGCAAACATCACTCCCAACTGCTGAGCTCTAAAGCAAGAGTTACGGAGAATATCCAGGATTGTAGAACTTGGTTTGATGCTGAAAAAATGTTGATAGTACCCATAAAAATACAGTTTTACAGGCTTCGTACTAAGTTATAGCACCTTTAATTTTAACCATGAGGGCTTAAACCAATCAAACAAGGACATAAATCAAACCTTGGCGGAAATTGTAAATTCTAAATTTTTTAATGTAGGTTTTTCTTAATGTTCATATACACCATATACATACACGTTAAAATGAGGGTTATAGGTTAGATGCGCCACTTTTATGTTGATGTACATGTTAGTTTGATACTACGCTATGTTCCTCTTAATCTTTAGCTAAATTGGTAAGTTTTTGTGATGGAGATATACCGTAGAATTTAATGTATTTAATGACCTTGAGCATGTTAGTGTATTTTTATATTTTTTTAAATATACGAGTACTAACATATTATAATTTTTAGTTTTTGACAGAGACTAAGTAAGTTTAGAGCAAAGATGATCGTGTCACATACTTATGTAAATTAAAATCTCCAGAGTTGTACACCATGGTGAAGTATTAGAGGTGAAACATCTACCCTCACAAGATAACTAACTAATATCGTTGCTAACATAAAAGAGTGATGATTGGTTTATATTCTGTTTAAATATAGTTCTAGTGTCAAGTATTATACTTCATTTTAGTAGCTTTCAATATTTTTCCTAGCACAATATTGGTTCGGTTGTCAAATGTTGCTGGTATCGTCAATCAATTTTCTGGTTGTTTAAACTGTTAAAATATGTTATAGAGATTTTTAATATTTAATTAGGTTTAAGCCAAAGTCATGGGGAATCGTTTTTCTGTTCGCCCTTATTGTTTTACTGAGTTAAATATTTCCTGCAGTACTATCCTGATAGTTAGGCCAAAATCGTTGGCAAAAATGTGGTTAGTAGTTGACATTGTATGAACTATTAATTATCAGCTGTGTCTGAGGAATATGTCAGACCTATTTACTAACAAGACTACAAGATCGCGCCACTCACCCCACACTCATCTCCAAACATACTTGACTTAAAATACCTACTTTCGTATGGCTGCCATTTCTAAGTAAAGTAAGTAGGCTATGTAATCTTCGTGTTTGCCAATGTCGTTATGTAAACAGTGATGAGGCACCATGTATTATTTTAATCATTGACTGGTGAATCCATCACAGAGCCCGGAGCCGTCTGAGCCATGGGAGGGTGAGCGGTGGGCGTTGGACATCCCCTCACCATGTATACAGGCGGAACGCAGACATGGGGAGCCCATCGGCAAGGAGGACTGCCTGTACCTCAACGTTTTCACTCCGGAGAGCGTGGAGAAGCGCATAGTAAGTAAACCTTATCATAGATCAAACCTAAATAATTAGTGTTTTTAACTTAAATCGGTAAGGAAATCTTGAATTTTCAATTATTATTACTTCGAGTACCAGTAAGTTATTAGCTAGGATCTGAAAAAAGAAAACCTTATTTATTGACCTAGATGGTTACTTTAATTCATTATATAGACAATACAGATAATGAGTGAAGTCTTAGTAGTAGTTAAAGTACCAAGAGGGTATGCTACTTTTATGTAGCTCTGGGTATTTTATAGTAAGTGAACATTATATTGCTCACTAATACTTACTTGCTTAAGTCAAGCTTACCATAATTCTACAAATGCATTCGCAATACTAGAGAACCTTGGAATCCTTAAAGAACATTACCGGGCACACAAAAAATGAGCATAAACACAGTATATCACAGTTGATCTGTCTTTCAGCAATCAAACTTTTAAAACTGAAATTTCCATTACAGATGGCGCACATGAATCTAACGGTATCAAAGAACTCAACAAATTCAAACACTACAAGCGTGGAGTCTGCAAAAGCCACTCTAAAAAGTAAAAAAGACAACGAGACCATGAGCAACGACATTCTCGATAATACCGTGAATGGGGCTGTCCTAGCTGGTGCAAATACGACGGTAGCTTCTGGCAACGCTACAGTGGGAAATGTCACTGTAGGTAACGCTACAGCAAACAACGCTACTCTTGGAAACTCAACCACCAACGGCAACGGAACAAACAAAGAGCCTGCTCCCAGGATGTGCCTCCCTGTGATGGTGTTCTTCCACGGAGGAGGATTCGAGACAGGATCATCAGGACCATTCACTCACGAGTACCTCCTGGACGCGGACATCATCCTGGTCACTGTACAGTACCGTCTGGGACTTCTAGGTGAGAGTAGTGTTGGCGATTGATCACGGAAAACATAGCTTGGAGAAACGTTTAATTGCTTGTGGACAATTCAAAAAAATCAAACAAAAACCACTTCAAGGCACGGAAAACATTATATAGCAGTCGTACTGCGGAAGAGTTGGCTGATGTTGAAAGTTACAAGCTTGAATCACGAATAGTATGAAGTTAGTTTGTCTGTATATTGTGTGTACTTAAACATGTTAAAATGTTCAAAAAAATGATTTAAAATCAGGTATCTGATAACTTATATTTCATCTTTAGTAAAATTATATACTTTTAAACATTATAAGAGAAGTATACTGACAATGCCTAACATTTGGCAGGATTCCTGTCAACCGGAGACACGGTGTTGCCTGGAAACCTCGGGTTGAAGGACCAGCGGTTGGCGCTCCAGTGGGTCAGAGAGAACATAGAGAAGTTCGGAGGATGCCCAGACCAGGTGACCATAGTAGGTGACGGCGCAGGCGGAGCCAGCGTCCACTACCACGTGCTCTTCGCACAACCCAAGAACGGTAAATTGTCAGACCAAGAAAATATACGAGCTTTGCACGTGAATACAATTACTAGGCCTATTATATATGCATTGCCACTCAAGAAACTGTCAAATTTAGTAAATTCAAATGAATAACTTTGTAACATTAAACTTTCACATTTTTCTCTGTTTGGAAAATATTGATATTACATTTTGACTAAAGGAGTTAAATGTTTTAGTTAGGACATACTTCTAAAAATGTATTTAAATCTGTAAAAGATAACCTAAGTTATACACCTATGTCAACCCATTTCGACTAAAATTTCAATCATTGTTGTGAATTTAAGCAAGTTAATAGGTATTTTTGTGAAGATTTTAATTCTGTATTTTTTTCTGTGGTCTGACTTTCTTTTTTCGGTTAAGTTCTCTTTTTATATTCAGATAAGACCTATTTATGGTAAAATCATTACTTCTTATGAATAATCTAAGGAACCTCAATTTTATATCAAATCAATACACATTGGAATAAATTAAAGACACAACTATGAAAATGGCTTACTTTGTACAGCACATTTGAAAATAATTGGTTAGGCCATAACATTATAAAAACATAAACATTTTTAGTATTCTAATATACAAAAAACTTTTTACTATAAAACAAAATCGGTTCCGAGTCTAGGGGTTGCCGTGCCGGTGTCCTGTAAATCGCCACCAGTGACATTCGCTACCAGTGACAATCGCAGCCAGTCCGGTCCGTTCTTGGAAAGAGGGTTCGTGGGTGTTGTGTGGTGGGGGGGGGGGGGGGGGGGGGTTGTCGAGACGGTGTCATACTATGATCACGGCTACTTCATAGTTAGTACCACAATTATATAGCTAGTTCCGATCCAAAGGAAAGTTAGCGATAAGTTCGAAGGACAGTCGATTGCAATAGTTAACGTCACAATGTATATTGATGTATTCGTTCTCTACGCTCACTCACCTTTTGGTTGCAAATTAGCTGTTGTCATAATTTAAAGAAATAATAGTGCTGCACCCAGTCGGTTAACCTTTTAACTTTTTAATGCTATTGAACATCTCAGAATCAAATTGTTTAGTTGAACCATCTGTTAAGATTCTTTAATTCCATTTAAATATAAGTACTCATAAGGTTAACATGGGAAACTCTAGACCCACTGGGGCGGAGCCCTTTTGACGGATCTGCACCAAACTTCACACAAACCATCCTTGAATAATGCTTAATAATGCCTGAAAGTTTCATTACAATCTGTAGAGCGGTTTCGGAGTCCATAACGTTCAAATATATATATATATATATATATATATACACAAACTTCCTCGTTTATAAATATAGATTGTCTGGTGGATCAGCTGTTTCGTGTCAAATAAATGAATATCAAAGATTTGTGATTTTAAATATTATAGTACAGTTTTGTAAATCAGGGTAACTTATTATCAACAAAATTTTTACTACGGTATTCCCAGCATTAAAATAAAGTAGTACAAGTTGCTATACCCGTGCTTTTCAACGCGGGAAGAAAATATGACCTAGAGAGCTATTAAAGTAATTATGATGTGTGTTTTAAAATACGGCAACTCTATGATTTAGTTTAAAAATATAAACTGATTTAAAAGTGTAAACCTACTTACTTTCAAACCCCTACTTTTTATGTTAATAGATCCAAAAGAATATGACAACATACCTTAGTGTTTTTTAAATTTATGACAACAGCTAATTTGCAACCAAAAGATGAGTGAGCGCAGCGAACGATTTCCAACCTGAAGGTGAGTGAGCGTAGCGAACGAACTTCAACCAGGACGTGATTGAGCCATGCGAATAATTATGAAGTTAAGCGGGGCAAAGCCCGCGGGTACAGCTAGTGTAGCTATATAAATTCCAAAATGAAACTTTGAGCAATACTGTACAAAACGTATACAACCTTTCTTTAAAACAAAACTTAACCCTCCTAAATCAACATAAAGCGTCACAAACATATTTTTCGAGTGAATAAACAAACACCAGATCATTGTACTGTCCAGCTGTTTCATTAACTAAATTAAATTAAATTATGTAAACTTTGGAAGCATGCCAGGCGTAGCCCTTTGGAAATCAGCCTCTGGGGCAGAGCCCTTAGGAAATTCGTCCATATAAATACTTTTCGGCAAATCTACACACTCCAAGCTTCATTTTGATGTGCCATATGCCTATATTTATATTTGGTAAATGGCCTTAACCGTTTACATAGAGTTTGATTGTATCACTTTAAATAACATAATAGATGGTCCTGTATGGGTACACTGTAAGGTCCCCAAAAATAATTAAACTTTAGTATACATTAACAGCCATAATACACACCAATTTCTTATGTAGTAGACTTTGACTATTTTCAACTAAAAAACATATGTTTCTATATAAAAATTATCTCCCATGTTATCCTTATGGAGAAAAAACTGATTTTAAGGGCCTCTGACGCCCTTACCAACGACTTTATAAAAAATCTAATACCGTTAGGCACAACTACACATTTTAACCTTTATTTTGAGACCTCAAACGTGAAAATCGGGCGAATAATAACAGAGGAGTTCGATTAACAAATACCCCCGCCGCAGCAAACCTGCCGACTAAGCGAATTTCCATTTGTCTGAATTGATTTTCAGTTAAATATATTTTAATAACATTAGGTTTAACGAGTACCTAGGTTTGCTGCTACAAGGAAACTAATAAAGTGTGTTTTTGAGTAAAATATTGATAGCTTAGTACAAAATAAATAAATTTGCCAAGTTTGATCAAAATATATTCATAAACAAGCAAACTACAACATTTGACAATATTCTCCATAAGAATAACATGGGAATTTTAAATTTACAATTTTTTTAATTTTCTCCGTTACTAATAATCGAACAAAAATACTTTTACATACTAAGTTATTTGTTTTTTTAAGCTCTTTAAAAAGGTCTAAAGAAAAAATTGGGAAATTTTGTGTTTTGAGGGTCAAAAGTGAGAAAAACCAATTTTTACCCCATAAAACCCCCCGTAAAGCCCCGTTCCCATGGTCCGATCGTGCTGGTTCGCGAACTCATTCAAGTTTATCCCGCTTTACACCTTTAAACCAAATTTCATCAAAATCTGACAAAAATTACTCAAGTTATCGCGTTCACGGACGTATATATATATATATATATATATATATGTCTATATATATATATACATATATATATATATATGTCTATATATATATATATACATATATATAAAATTTGAACGAATAGTGTTTTTGGCCTCTGGGGACATCAAAATGAAAAAGTAAATCGGTCCCGGGTCTAGGTCTTACCGTGCCACCTACGGTAATAGCTACTTCCCTATAGGGAAATTCGCTAAAAACGGCTTAGCCTATATTAAACATATATAGATAGATTTGGTTTGGGAAATACCGTGGCTCTACTGCATAATTGGTCCTAAAACATTCGCTAGGTTCGTTCCTCCGATTATGGAATGCGCTATGATGAAATGCTCTGTTAACTTATACACTAGCCTGCCTATGTTCTCAAAAAGATCATAAGCTTGAGATTAACTCATTGCAATGCATCAACGGAATGGATAGATCAACATTAAAATTGTCCTGTGGCATTATATTCTGCTATGATAATAATAAGTGTGTTATTCCCAATAGGGTAGTATGTGAAGGGAGGGGAGTAAGGTATGCCATCACGTAGTGGTGAGGGTGGTGACTCACGGCCGCAGGTAGAGACTGGTAGCGATTGTCGCAAAATTTGAGTTGGCAGCGATTGTCAGTGGTGGCGATTAACAGGTATTCGCCGTGCCACCTAAGACAATAGCTTCTTTCCTATATTCTGTAAAAGCTACAGAGCACATGAATCTGTAACTCGATCACAACTTCGAGTTGTGAATCATACTTGGGTTCAGGTTTACAATCACTTAAACCTGGAACGTCACGAAGAACAACCTAGTACTACCTACTAATTCAGCAAAGGCTATAAAATGAGATTCAATGCAACAGAACTAGCCAAAATACAAAGTGACGGAGTTAAAATTGTAAAAAGGAAAGCTGTTCAGATAAATAGCTATTCTTTATATTTAAAGTTATATGCAATAAAAGTATAATGAAAAATAATTAATATAACACGATCTTCCAACAAAATATATTTACTTTTGTAATGTACAAGATTAACATTTACAAGACGGTAAAATAATATAAAATGTGTTACAATAGTGATCGATTCCGACCAGTTAATTGGTCATCATCAGGCCTGGGAGACGCCACTCGTCTAGGTGGACGATAATACAAAACACAAAACAGATTATTTAGAAATGTATACACATTTTTATAGGTTACCATGTAAGTAGTTGTGTTTCGTTCAATGAATGGTTGAATGTGTGTATATAACTTGAAACATATCTGGGTTCAGAATCATTCCGTGCTGGTATATCCATGAGTGGCACGGCTCTGTCACCGTGGGCGTTCAGACCCCCCTCAGAGGTGGCGCACATGGTGGACAGCCTCGCCAGAATCACTCACTGTCCCAGGGAGTCGGAGGAGTTCGCGGCCTGCATGTGGAACATGAGGGCTGAGGACTTTGTCGTGGTCCTTCAGAAATACAAGGTACTCCTTTCATAGATGTGCATTAGAATGATAATACTGAAACATTCAGGTAATGTCTTCTATGTCTCTTAGTTTAGTTTATTACGTTATACATAAGCAACTACGGACCATTTTACTACATGCTGGAGATGTGTATTTTAACTGTAAACTGGATTGATTAGTAATATTTTGGTCTATCGGATGTTTCTAGTTTGCATGGAAATCATCAGCCATCTTCATCCAATCCCTTAGCACTCTTATACAAGGAGGCTGTAGACAGATTTGTATGTACAGCCAAGTTCTTTGTAATGGCCAATTTCTTTTCGCTTCTATTTTAATAAAAAATACTTTCGTATTGCTAGCTTATGTTTCTGAAGGAAAAATTTACTAAGCAAGAATGCTTGTTTTGTTAAGTTGTAAAGAGTAAACTTGAATTTGGTTCAAGATGGATAATCTAAAAATTCAAGTCTGAACGAAGGATTCTTGCAAACATATAAAAAGAATAGATGTCCATAATTTATGTAAAGCAATATGTTTCTGGGTTTTCAGTTTGTTGTAAAATGCGATTGGTAACTGAGTAACGCTCAACATCGCCATTCTAAACCTAAACCACCTCCTTTAATATAAAGAAAAATCAGTGATTAGAGCACAAAATACCAGCTTTGGTTTTTGCATTGGCAAAACGTCAACAAGCACAATACAAATACAGGGTGGCTCAAAATTAGCTTCACCCCCCTTCCCCGAAAAATATTTGAAATCGTGTTGTGGCAATCTTCTTAGATATGAGGGCTACAATAATTATAGTTAATGTTATTAATTTTACCTTTAGGGGTAAGGGGTAGCTCGAGATTTGCAAAGGCGAAGTATAGTAAGCTTTGGTATTGTTCTACAGGACAAAACATAACAATTTATATAAATAAATCGGACAACTAATAACAAAATTGCAACTGACAATTAATTTACTCACCCGCCTTAAGCATACCCTTGTGTTGTGGCCGTACAAATATTATTATTAACCTATTTTATTAACTTTAAATTTTTACCAAGGTATTACTTTTTTCTAGTTCATATCATTGCTAATAAAATATGTGTGGTTACTAAAGGTGTGATTATCTCCGGTTCCGCCTCCTCTTGTATGACACTACAGAGGGCCCACGGACGATGAGTGTCACTTCCGGTGCTGCCCAAGGTTCCATACTCGGCCCGGACCTCTGGAATGTCGCGTATGACAGCCTCCTGAGGTCTGAATTGACTGAGGAAACTGTTTTGGTTGGGTACGCGGACGACGTTGAAGTTTTGATAGCTGCACGTAGCGTTGAGCTGGCTCACCTAAAGCTGAACCGAGTTATGCGTACTATAAACGCATGGATGACATACCACGGTCTCTCACTTGCTTTGAGCAAAACTGAGATCGTGATATTAACAAAAAAAAAACGGATTGACACCATCGTGCCGTTGAGGGTAGGGGCCGTTGAAGTCCAGGCCGTTCGTTCTGCCAAGTACCTTGGGATTATGGTGGACAGCAAGCTTAGCTGACGGGATCAGATTTTCCGTACGGCGGACAAGGCCGCTAGGGTGGTCTCCTCTCTTAGCCGGTTGATGGCCAATGTCGGAGGGCCTCGGTCCAGCCGTAGAAGGCTGTTAATGTCTTCTGTCCAGTCCGTACTCTTGTACGGTGCTGAGGTGTGGGCAGACGCTCTAAATAAGGAGGTATATAGGATGCGGCTTGCCCGAGTGCAGCGGCACTAAGAGTTGCATCCGCCTACCGAACAGTGTCTGAACCCGCCGTCCTGGTGGTTGCTGGAGTCATCCCCGTAAAACTTTTGGCAGCGGAGAGAAAAGCAATTTATCAGCGCCGTGGGGAGGACCAGGCACGAACAGAGGAACGCACCCGCACCTACCAGCTGTGGCAAGAGAGCTGGGAACAGGAGACTCGGGGACGCTGGACCAGGCGACTGATAAAGCAAGTCCAACCTTGGGTTAATCGGCGGTGCGGAGAGGTGGACTTCTACCTCACCTAATTTCTGACGGGTCACGGCTTTTTCCGGTCGTACCTGTTCAGGATGGGCAAAGCCGTGTCACCCGATTGCATATACTGCCCAGGCTATCCCGATGACGTGGAACATACCTTTTTCCACTGCCAGCGTTGGGAAAGGCCCCGCCTGGAGGCTCAACAGTTAGTAGGACTGCTGTCGGTGGACACGGTCAAACCGATGATGACGGAGGGTGAGGACAATTGGACCTGTGTGTCACATTACATCCAGGGTATTCTCCGCGCCAAGAAGCTCGACCTTGATCGGGATGCGGTGTAGGTCATAAAGTATCCAAATGCCATAAACGGTGAGAGCCCTGAGGGCTTAGGTAACATGTTGGCCTGACTTGAAGTAATGTGACAAACAATTCCAGGTCTGTGTCCAACAGAGTAGAGGGGGTTTTTTAGGGAGTAGTCTGCGATAGATTCAGGAGTCTCACACTACAGGCTGGCTACCTGTGTGCGTAAAAGCATTTTCCCTCCTCTCCCTTAAAAAAAAAAAACAAAAAAAAACTAAAGGTGTCTCGAAAATCGACGATTCCCCAAAGTTGCTGTTATCAGAGATATTTGTCCGTTTTAGGGGGAGGAGTTATTTTAGGGCACCATTTTGTTAATAGTGGTCCAATTTTTATTTTATTTATTTTAATTGATTTGTTTTTATCAAGACCTGTAAAATGATACCAAAGTCGACTATACTTCCCGTTTACTACCCCAACACAACCCCTTACCCCTGATACCCATTAAGGTATTTTTTAAAAATTAACCATCATTATTGTAGATCACCATATCTAAAAAGGTTGCAACAAACTGAAACTGAACATAAAAAAGAAAATAGAAAGTTAAAGAGGAGAGTTAACTATTTTTTAGCCACTTTGTATACGTCAACGCCGTACAAAAGACGGTGGTCACTCTGCTGGTTACAAAAAAGCTTATGTATCAGATAACGCATATTCAATATTTTAATCGTGAATAAATACAACTCTTTAATTGAGGATCATGCCTTTAAGGGAGGGATGATCAGAAAACTATTTTTCTGGGAAGTTTCTTGTTAAGACGGTTCATTCAAGTATGCAGTTGATAAAGGTCGTAATCGTAACCGAACGACTCACGGTTAAAGTCCGTGGTCCTTATTATCTCTTTATGTGGATATATTCTGTTTTTGACAGAACGAGACCCTGGGAGGGTGTGGGGAGTGGGCGCTGTCTCTACCAGTGGTGGGAGGTGTCTTGGAGGACTGCAGAGTAGAGGATGCGTTTATCACCGCCAACCCCTGGGACAAGAAAGTCAACATGCCTTGGATGGTGGGAGTCACCGGCAAGGAGATGCTTTACGAGTTTACAGGTACTTGGGCATTGTATAAGTAGAAGAAAATATACTTATTTGATAAACTATGAAACTCTTGACAGAAGATAATTATTTCTAAAGACAAGTTTTTATATTCCAGTTAAAATTCCTAATATAATAAACCCATGTCATTATCTCAGGAAATTAAAGACCCGGGGTTGGTTAAGAGGCTTGTAGTAGAGTGTTCTAAATATCTTCCAGTTTGTAAGTGTGTATTCTCCATTATTTTGTTTGTATCTTTAGAACAATTGGTAGACCGAAGGGACAAAGCCTTCCCTCGTTTGGAAAAGTGTTTCAACGAAAGTCTTCCCAACGCGTTGGGTTACAGCTTCAGCAACGCTAGTACAAACACGCTCGTAGAGAACATCCGAAAATTCTACTTCAAAGATGAGCCCATCAGCAGAGATATATTCGCCGATATAGTGGAGGTAAGTAAGGGATTGCAATAATAGATAAGCAAAGTAATAAGACTTTAGCACCAAGTAGACCCTGTAACCTCCATAAGAACTGTGTGTTCAACTGTGTGTGATTGTCAGGCCGTGTCGGACGGATCGGTGGTTTATCCCACGTTTGAGGCGGTCCGCAGAGCTGCTAGGAAGTCTACATGGCTTTATCACTTCAACTACATCGGCAGTAACACCTACGGGGCTTCGGCACTGGATGGCCGCATTGGTAAGCCAATCATATCATCGATGTAGATTCTTAGGAGATCAAGTTTATATAAGTATTATTAGTAATACAACTTGAATACCTTAAAAATTTCATTGTTACTAACAATATTATTATATTTGTCAGGAAAAATAGAAAATAGAAATGAAAATTGTTATACTTTTAAGAAAGCTAAGCAAAGCAATTCTCATATCTGTTATAGCACCTGGTAGAGGAGATGATCTATTCTACTTTTTCCCTCGTCCACTTGGCAAGAATGTTCCGAGGAAAACAAAGGAACCAGACATGGTGATTTCTAAGAAACTGGTCACACTTTGGACAAACTTTGTTATTCATCTGTGAGTAAGAAATAGCTTATAATGTGTTTAAGTAAATAACATTGAAATTAAATAGTAAGAAAACGAGGAAATTTGGACAATAACCGTAAATAAAAAAATCTACAATTTTATTTTTATATTTTAATTTAATTAGATAAAGATTTGTTCATGGACTAATTCTATAGTGGTATCTTTACCACGAACAATATCTAACAATATTCAAGACATCAATATCTACTGCATAGATGTTCTGGGATAAACTAATCCACTAGACAGTTTACCCTGTGACAAACTGAAAGTAAAGGTGACTACTGACAGTACTCTAAACTTATAAACATGCATATGCTGTATCTCTGATGATAAAACCTCATCAATAAAACAAAGATTAATAGAATCTATACTCGTCCAGTATGAAGTTTAACTATACCAGAAGAAATCTTGTCTAAAACGGGTTTACATTAATTACATACTCATACAGCTAATTTTCGACAAAAAGACCAGCGTAGACTTGATAGGCATGTGTTCTATCTTAGGCTAGCAAACATTTGCAAACATTGCATTTTTATAACATAACCATTTGTATGACGAAACCGTAGGTATACTCTTTTCGCTTTTTACGCTTCAACTAATGTTTCCAAAGATATCAAAACAACTCTTCTTCTTTCTGTTTGGGATTAACCTAATTTTTCAAATACAAAACTCAATAAGAAAAAAATTATTTGGACGTTCTTTAAAAGGTATAAGAACAATGAAAACTGGAAATTCATGTCTTAAACCCAGGACACACTTTGCTGCCTTTTTTATCTCTGTTAAGTCCCTTAAAAATAACTAAGAAGGTTTAGTTTACAGCCAAAATGTTGCTTGTTGTAGATAATCGTCGCCAACCTCAATGTTATATTACCATGAAGGCCCAGCGGGTGTTCCCGTTGTGTTCAAAGCCATCCCTACAAATGTTGACGTTAACTGATGGTGGGTGATGTTGTCTTATGTTGTTGATATTGTGTAGTGACCCGACGCCGACGGTGACGCCGGACGGTGTGAAGTGGGTGTCTGTAGCTCCCAGCACTACCTTCCTCAACATTGGCCAGTCCGTCATGGTCGTCGAAAGACCCTTCTACTCCTATAGGATGAACTTTTGGTCAATGGAGGACTTCCCTCATCGCGACGACGTTTACGGTATTAATTTTCCGGTGTTTTACCTTTAAAAAATCGTATTTATAATTTTAATACCCTTTCATACCAGGTAGGCCTACAAGCTATCAAAAGGAATTCCAAATGAAAGCTGTATAGTTTAAAAAGAACTGAGGACACATAAAAAGGTCATTAGCAACTTAAACTATACTATTTTTTTTTTACATTGTATGTGATAGATCCTATACTCTAATATGAATACGAACAAGATCTATTTGCCTGTATGTACTACATATCTCAAAATCCAGCCGAATGATTCTGACTAAAATTTTAAATTAGGGACTTATAAATTCAAAACGCGATTGACGACCGCCACTACCTCAGAAAAATTCGTATTTTGCTATACAACTCATTACAAATTTTAATAATTTAACATTGGCCTTATGGGTTGCAAAGTAACTATGGTAGTTCAAGTAAGTCTTCTAACTGGGGATATAACAAGCCATCCACGGTATACTAGCAAATTATACAGTACAAAGTTATAAACACCAGTTTTAACTAACTTCAATAGTTAGTTAAAGCTCAATGCTAACTAAAGATTACACTGAAGATTACTCAATATAGGGGAAAATAGATCAAGTCAGTGTTGATGAGTGTTGTTTGTTTCGTATTGGTGACGTTTGAGTGCACTGGCGTTAACACAATGTTTCACTATTATTGAAGAGTAAATTTTAAAATTTGTATGTACTCTTTTTTATAGTTTACCTTATTTGGACATGGGCAGGTGTGTTCATAATAAATTGAAATTCTACTGGAACCTTAATAATAAAAGTAAAAATTGGGAGAAAAAACGTGAGTTTCCTTCGTATTGCTTTTACAAACGAGATAAACTATACCGAGCCATGGCTTAGTCCCCCACTACTATTGATTAAGATTCCTGTTCGGAGATCTTTTTTTGGATCAGGGATGGAAATACCACCTTTTGTCTATAAAGTTATTCTTCTGGCCAAAAAATCTACATTTAACAAACATTTTAAAAGATCCTCAAAAAATGTTTTAAAGTATATTTTTACATTTTATAAGTATGCTTCAGTGAAAAAGACAAAAAGTTGTTGAAAATAACTGGATATGATAATCCTCAGTCAGTTGTGAATTACAGTTTAAATTGTATAAAACCGGGAATTGCTATACAGGGTGATTGATATAAGTGTGCCAGCCGTTTTATTCGAAAACTATAAGAGATATCAAAAAAAGTTAAATGGTAAGTGCCTTGGATTTTTTATTAAAAAAATTATAGTCGAGTCAAAAAAATTATTTTAGCCGCCATTTTTCCAATATGGCCGCCAACTTTGATTTTTCTTATGAAACACCCGGTATTTTATGATGTATTCTGGTAGAAAAAGTAATTTTAAGACGATTTTATTCCTGTGATTCTTTTCATAAACCTAACCGTTTCAAAGATAATAATGGTTTAAGTTGTGAAATTTTGAATGGTTTTCGAGCAAAACAGCTGGCATGCTTGCTTAGGCCTTTATCGAAACTCTTTCTCATGCAGAAATTTCATAACTTTAACCATTATTATCTTTAAAACGGTAAGGTTTATGAAAAAAATCACAAGAATAAAATCGTCTTAAAATTACTTTTTCTACCAGAATACATCATAAAATACAGGGTGTTTCGTAAGAAAAACCAAAGTTGGCGGCCATATTGGAAAAATGGCGGCTAAAATAATTTTTTTTTGTTTTTTAAATAAAAAATCCAAGGCACTTACCATTTAACTTTTTTTGATATCTCTTATAGTTTTCGAATAAAACGGCTGGCACACTTATATCAATCACCCTGTATGTAGGACAAAATCTTTTACTATAGTCAGTACCCTGCAAAGCTAAGATAATTTTCTTTAACTTTCCTAAGTGTGTGGTTCTGTCCCCCCTTTGACAAGGTATGCTATCCCGTTTTATGTATGCACCACTAACACAGAAGTCAAAACTGTGTACAAAAGCTTGGAACTGTCTATAGGCAATGGATTGTGTTTGATGACGGATGAGCCGGAACCACAAGCAACCACAGACGAGGAGACACCTTTGGTCCTGCCGAATGACTTTTACCCAGCTCTGAAATGGACTCTCAAAAACGGTCCTATTCCTCAGGTAGACATGGACAAGGAATCTGGAGACAACCAGGGACAGAAGGAAAACATAAGTATAGTGCCATTTGTTTTTACTAATAAAAGTAGTAATCTTATGGCTAATCGTGTAACACTTCCTAACGATGTTTAAACTTTTTTTATTTGAGTTAAATAAGTAAGCTTTTATTTGGTAGCAATATAACAAATAACAACAGTCGCCAAACTAATAAGACTAAATCACTTTCGTGGGTAGATTGTTGCGGACTTCACAAATAGAGCGTGTAATCTGTTGCCAACGGACAACCTAAAAACATTTTTACCAAAACAGTGGTCATAATAACTTACTCATTTTTAAAACTCGATTTGGCTGAATACTAACTTTGTTGGATTCATCAATGGAAATAGTGATTAGATTAGTGAGTCGGTGGCTAAGTTGGTAATGCCACGGACTTTGCACCTAATGCAGGGATCTCGTTGGTTCGAATCCTGGTACCTCCCACTATTTTTTATCAGTACCGTTCACTCTTGTACTGTTCTGGTTCATCTCTTGCTTTGCTGGATACGTTCCACGCACTGGCCCGAGACCTATGTAAACGGCTAAATGCAAGGCTAAAAGAGGCCACCAACCCCTTAAAAATTAATAAAATGAACAACCATTGTTAACACTCAAAATAGAATGATTTCAGCTTAACAATTGTTAACTCTTGATGGTGTGTTCTGGTAATATAGCGGTCGTGGTGACGACGACGACCACCACTCCCAAACCCACGCTGGTCCCAGAGGTATACACAGACAGCTTCTATCCCGCGCTGAGGTGGACCCTCAAGGCAGGATCAGGGTGGAGACCCTTGGTAGACAACGTAGGAGACCTCAGCAACAACGAGGTGGTCACCGTCATCGACGATCCTATCGAGGCACCCCAGGAGACTGAGGTAGAGGAAGTAACCGAAGAACAGCAGGATGACAATGTCACCGAAGTGCCAGACGATTTCGATGTCAACTTTTACCCTGCTTTGAGATGGACACTCAAGCAAGGATGGAGACCCTTGGTAGACACGGTAGGATCTTTGAGTGAGACGGAAGCTACCACGCAGGTGGACGATGACGTCACTGTGGAAGAGAATGTAGATGACATCACTGAGGACGCAGAAGATGACGAAGTCGAAGAAGTCCCAAGAGTAATGGACCTCCGGGATGGTTAGACGTAACAGGCCATTAAGTATGTTTACCAATCTTACCGTTATAACTTAAATTATGTAAATTATGTTTTAAATATACTCTAGTTACTAACAAATGTATAACAATATGTAATCCTTAACTTACCTCTTAAATTGAGGCTGATTATTGCGATGAAGTGTTGCATGAATAAAACCTTTTACAATAGTCTCTGCAAAGCTAAGCTATTTTTCTTAAACCACAGACTATAGAGTAACGTAACTCTCTGGTCTGTGCTTTAACTCTAAAATTGTGTAATTCTGTTTCGCCCCTTAACCCACAATATGTTCAAAAATTTCAACGCGATTTCAGTAAGAGAAAATTTAGTCTGTTCATTAAAATGCAAGAATAAAATTAGAGTTTTGTCTGTACATTGCTCAGAATCATAAATTTTTAGGTTAGTTTTAAGTTTTATACATTAAAGAAGCCGAAACAAGTCTCATCTAAATTTCTGTCTGTCTGTCTGTCTTTCGTCTGTCTGTAACACTCAAGATGGCATTTTACACAATCTTCTCCGTGAAAACGAGAGTACCTATCAAGATCCAAGTCATTTTAATGTACTCACTGGATTGGCGAGAGTGTCTTAAGTGATTAAAATATGGCCTCACTACTTTGTAAATAAAATTACGGACGTTCAAAAATGCAGTTTTGTGCGACTTTTGTCAAATTTTCGTTCAATTTTAATCACATAATCGTCTACGAAATAACGAACAGCCGTTTAGATCAAGATTATTTTTTCTAGCTGTCACTGATATGTTTACAAATACCACAACCATTTCGAATCACGTTTTGAAAGCAAATCCCAACTAAGTGAGATTAAAAACGTTTTTCTTACGTAACGGCTTTAATTAATCGCAAGTGGAATAATATAGTGTAATCGTTAATGAAATTAAATAACCAGGCATCATCTAGGTCAGGTACCAGAGATTCTTTGTGTATAAAATTGTTCTTGAGTTTTGATAACCAGAAAGAAGACCTAAAACCAGTGTTGTATAGGGCTGGGAAACTTGAATTTATTAATGATCGTCGCCAATAGCTTACAAACAAGGTTTTTCACTCATTGACGGCGCTTCGATGGCGGTTGTTTAAAGTAAAAAATCACAACTACGGATGATAATAAACTCGCTTTTCCAATGACTGTGTCACTTTCTGTTCCTACTCACCGTGTGATGCAATAGCTGGACCTTACAGCCAATAGGCCCATAGCCCATCTCTTGGGTACGTATTATAAATTACCAATCTAAATCGTCTATAGGACTTCATTTCATATAGTAAGCCGTCATTTCGACAGCATTTCGGGTCATCTCCGAACCAAGCAAATATAAATTGTTATGATAAAATTTGATGACATTAACAAAGATTTCATAAATACTTATTTTATAGGTATGTACTTTGTTAGGTATGCTTAAAGAATAGCAAATTCCCTAATTAAATTCTGTATTTTTGTGTATATGTCTGTTGGTGACGCATTAATGACCTTATTTCTCAGTGTTTCACAGAAAGGACAAGAGCACCTTTGATGATAAAAATGTCAACCGGAATAAAGTGTTAAATGGTGAGGTTCAGGTAGTACTTTAATAACTTTTAACCATTGTGGAAAGTAACTTTCAATTATAGGCCTACCTTAGGGATATGCCTCATAGATTTATAAAAAGCATATTTTAGTTTAATCATTGGATTTAACATATGGACCAACACGATCCGGGTGACATTTAATTGCGTTTATTTTGGCTTGAAACTGTCAGATACTGTATTTGCGAAGGTTTATATATAATAGTTTTGCCAACATATCTGAAAATATGCAAACCAACTGCTGTTCTTAATATAAGAAGGTTTCAACTGAATACTATAAGATCTCCGTGCGTAGAACGGGCACACAGCTAGTAAGAATACATAAAAGTATTTGTCCATTTTTTTCACTAGCCCCTTGTGATTAAATGATTACTTAGATTTGTAAACAAAACGATTTGTTTAGATGTATAAACAGATGTTAACAATAACGAAAAGAGGAAAGAAAACATTTTGTCATAACTTAAAATAAAGAAATCTATTTAATTTTAATTAATACCCTTTCGTCTTTAGAAAATTACTCTATAGGGAGAAGCACGAATACTAGAAAAATACCGGTATGGAGCATTAACATAAACAAATGACGTTTTTGGCCCTAAAGTAAATAAAACCCCTATTCTAATAGCATTAATTAACATATGGTTTTGTTTACTTTCGGGCCAGAAACGTAATTTTGTTTACATTTATGATCCATACCGGGTCTTTTCTAGTATTCGAGGGGAGAAGCCATGGGTGGCACGGTTAGACGGCCTGGGACCGATATGCTTTGTCATTTTGATGTCCCCAGAGGCCAGAAACTCTATTCTTTAACGTTGTTATACATGTATATACACTGGATGTCTGGTAATAAGTGTTTAATAAATTGTTTTATAAAACTACATGATAATAGATGACTGCATGACTATAATAGATAACTACATGATTGATTAATGCTCGTTTGAAGTTCCCTCAAACAGTATGAGAACAACAGATAAATAAGGATTAAAAATAATTGTGTTTGTTATGCAAACAATTATATTACCTAATACCTACTACGCAAGAACAATATCTATCGCTAAAATAAAGATCTATTTGAAATCCCCAATAAATTTACAATAAAAATACTACATAAAATGTGGTGTTGTATGAAATTCTATTTAAGTTTCACTGTAAAAGTTAACACTTTAAAAAAGACAAAAATGTCTAAGCTGCATAGTTCAGCTGAAGGTGCAAGACTTTATGTACTTAAGCTATTTCCTCAGCATATTCGTACTATTATACCAAATCTCGTGTTTCTCAAATCCATAAAAAATAGCATCTAATGGGAATATTGTGAAAACTTATACAATTGTTTTTTTTTTATTTTGTGTTAATAAGTTTTATAAGAACCTGTTCATTTTTGTAATCGACCTCCTATATCCACGCGTACATGTTTCATCGTTACTATACTCCAATATTGCCAAAAACAACAACGCAGTTTACCAACAACTGAACAATTACAACTTGGGCATTTAGGCTATAAGGTAAATCGGGGTAGTTGAGAATGTGTGAGGATTTGACCACTTCTTAATGTTTGTAGGTTCTGTAAAACACAACACTGAAACAGGGTGGCATAGTTTGACGAAGTAACTAAACCCAGTTAATTAATGCAGGATTATTGATTTAGGCTATGAATTGGTTCCGAGCATATATTTTTAGTATATCATTATCAGTTTTTAGTCTATAACTTTACATGGTACTTTACTGAGATATACAAAATAAGGCTAAACAATTGTAATAAAAAATAATACTCTGTAACAAAGCAGCATCTTCGTTCAATGTGCAAGTAAAAATAAACGCCTAAAGACATTGCAAAGATCACAGTGTTGTAAAAATTAACAACCCAGAAACTGGCAGCCATCAACAGAGCACCAAATATTCTGAAACAGCTCTTGTAATTGTTGCGCCAGCTGTGAATGAGTTTCATTTACTTTTGATCCAAGGTTCGTGTGGATCTACGTTATTTGATCTACCTAAGTACAGGTGTTATGGTCGTTAAAGGGTCAGTGAAGTAAATGTAGCGCATTCTATGCAGATATTACTTTTTACTATTCTTACAAGGCTACTTTGATATTTTATCATCCTACAATCAAAATGATTCAAACTAGTTTTTTATGAAGTTTGATCAAATTTAGTTATTTACTCTCTCCAAATTTTTTGTAATAAGTTAAAGAATGAAAAAAGTTAATTACTAGAATTTACAAACAGTTATATAGTGAAAGTATCGTTCGTTAGTCGGCTACTGTATTTTTCGTTTGGTAGTCAGGTATGATTCTTGGTTCTTGGAACGCAGGGTTTTACTAACTTTAAAAAACATACAATCAAATAAGCATAATATGAATTACATTCAAGAGAGTGAAGGGAAAGGACACAAACAAAAGTTATAGGTTAGGTTCATGAGCTTTGTATTTTTTTTCTTAAGAAAATCCTATTTTTAGACATCGATAACCGTTTGCCAAAAGTCGTTCCTTTAATCGTTTTGTAAGGTAATGATTTAAAGGTTTTAGGATTCAAACCTACTCAGAAGTATTCCTGCATCGAAGACATTTTATGAAGGATTTAAAAAAGTTGTATGCGGCTACACTATTATGATAAGAACCCAACTTCCTCAGTTTGCTGCAATCAGCTATTTTTATTTTAAGAAAGAAGTGATTTTCTAGCGAGACCCGAAAATCATCATGTTGCTCTATATTTTTGCATTTTAAAACCCTAAATTAATCGATTTACTCATATGTTACCAATTATTATAAATAAAAGCCAAGTTCCTCGCCATAGCATAAAATAGATATAATTGAGAAGGATCGTAAAAATGGAAAACAGAAGTATTGAGATAAATCCGTTTTCATAATATTTCACCTAATTCAAACTTTGTATGTTACCGTTTTTCAATGATGGTATCATTTTTTATTTTTTTTATTTTACATGTTGAATGTACATGTTTTATCGTTATTAGACTCCAATATAGCCAAAAGCAACAACGCAGTTTACCAACAACTGAACAATTACAACTTGGGCAATTATAAGGTAAGACGGGGTAGTTGAGAATGTTTGAGGATTCAACTATTTCTGAATGTTTGTAGGTTTTGTAAAACACAACAATGAAGCAGGGTGGAATAGTTTGCTTAGTGATCGAAGTAACTAAGCCCAGTTAATTAATGCAGGATTATTGATTTAGGCTATGAATCGGTACCGAACATATATTTTTAGTATAACATTGTCAGTTTTTAGTCTATAACCTTACATGGTACTTTACTGAGATATACACAATAAGGCTAAACAATTGTAATACAAAATAAATACTCTGTAACAAAGCAACCTCTTCGTTAAATGTGCAAGTAAAAATAAACTTTGAATGTACATGGCTTTTTATATACATTTACATAATCTTCATATTTCATATTTTAACTCATTAACTCGTGATTGGTGGTTGTTTGAGTAATTGATACATCTGGTTATCACACAATATTCCAGCGTATTATGTAACTCAACAATGTGGGGATATAATTAGTCATACGATCATCCACACAAATTCCATCGATAATTTAATTGAACATGGGGGTGTCGCATGCAGCTTTGGCAATGCGTCCGTCTGACAATTCCGCATAATCCACAGAGATCAT